AACCCTTGTAACTGCCGTGTTAGGCAATGCCACCAAATAAGCCTTCAAAGATGTTAATCAACGGAATATGACAGGGAGGGGTCTTATTTAAGCATATCAATGCTGCTGGATCCGGATCAGTTTCTACCGGACACAGAGTGACAACCACAAGGAGGACTGGGGACTGACACGCAAAGCAGGACAGCGACTATGCTGCATAATTATGATGTTGCAATTCTGGCCATCACAGTGCTAGTCCACCCACCATTTGCCGACAGAATCTACACAATATAAAATCACTTTTACCTTCACTGGGAGTTTTTTTTCCTAACCTATAGCATTACAGAAGCTAAATGCGCGTGTTCGCAGTTGAGGTGGCTTTCCGACAGACGCCTGGAGAGCTGCTATTGGTTAGGGAGGGAGCTGGATCACTTACAAAATGGAATAGACAGGTTGAATTTACAAAGCTTACGAAATCACAGAAGAAGTACTTTTTTTTATTAATTAGGTAGAGCTATGACATACCTCACACAGAGCGGCGAGGCGGCTGTTTGCATAATGCAGCTAAAAACAGTTTCTAAGCCTTTGAGTTAAATGAAATGGATTTAGATGTTCGTTTTTTTACTTCCGTCTGTGAAATTTGTAAAAGATATTAAACTTTTTCCAAACCAAATCGGGGAAGTATTCCAAAGTCTTAAGCAGCTTCTCTGTATTAGCTCAAAAATGAGGTACAATACCTCCACTGAATGTTATACGGGAGCGAAAAATTCACCATTGGATTACGAGGTTCAAATGAAACAGGGCGGAGATTGGGTCTACTGCAAATTAAGTGACTGATTTCACACAACGAATCCAAGGAAACGATCTTACGACACGCAAACATTTGCAACTCCCTAAGCCATTTTCATAATATTCACAGAATCTTAGAAAATCTGGCTTCCAGATTTGGAAGGAAATTTCCCTATAGGGCCCTGAATCTTCCCCAAAGTTATGGTAAAGCAGAGCAGTATGGAAAGACTTATTATGGACGTACGGAAAGGGCAAGAGGATCTACTCATGCCTACAAGACCATGCCGTCAATAAGGAACTTCGAATTCCCGAATAGCCTGCTAAGTTAAATATACAACTAAACAGTTATCGCCTCAGCGATCAGCTCCATTTTTCTTTTGAATCCACTCCATGGCGCTTTCCCTGATCACTTTGCTTCCACAGTCATTACAAGGTAGCCGATGCTTTGCAGCCCACCTGTGGAGCAGGGACGAGGGGTTCCAAATCTTTGCAGAACTAAGAAGACAGTTAATTCCTTCGACACTGATCCATCACGTAACTTCCAATGTATCTATGTTGGGCGTGGGGAATCGCCGCCTTCGTACTGCTCAAGGCTAGACCATACACGACGACGGGGGAGGGTAACATGCAAATCGCTGGTAGCAGAGGCATTTGCATAAAGACAGAGCAATTCACCCAAACACATCCATTTCGCCTTGCCACTGTTACGTTCAATTATCAGACTGGGAGGAATTAGCATTTGGTCAAGTAAGTCACCGTTTCACATAAGTTCCACCGACAGCTCCACAATTTACCTTTTTAAGTCGTTTAATCCCAATCCTGCTCCAGTTGTTAGGTTACCTCTTCCAGAGCACGGGATTGGGATGATTGTGAAGGGTAGAGGTGGCCGTGGTAGCCCTTCTTTTGTAAAAAAAGGTCTGTAGATTAAGTCAATCACTACAGGTGCCTTCCTTCCGCAATTTCATCTTGTCGTCTCAGTTGGTCTCGAGGACACCATGGAAGGCATGTGACTCTGAGAGTGTCTTTATTAGTACTGCATGGCGAGTCTAAAGGAATAATAACAAGTCTCCATCCTATTGCTGCAGAGGTTGAATCACCGGAGACCTGGAGAGGTCAAAGTAACATTGGTCATGACGAAAAACTGGCTTCTGTTATAACTCAATTGGTGTCTAGCGACGTTGTTCACAGTTTTCCTTTCACACGTCAAGACACGTCAAGTGAAATCACATTGGAGGCGAGGTCGGTAATCGGTCAATGGTTTCCCGCCCAAGAGCAAGTTCTTCCACATATGCATTGTGGCCTCGTCATGAGTCAGCGACGTGGATTAAGGATGCCAACTTCAAATTAACTTCTTTACGAAATTGTCGTAAAGAATAGCCATCTATGAGAGCACCAGATTCCGTCCCAATTCTATAGCCACTAGGCCAAAATCTGCGAAATTAGATACTCATATTTCATTCAGCGTTCAGTATTTTGGCGTCAAAAGTATGACAAATTTGTCTACAGACGATCCATGTTTATTCAACACAGATCTCGCTCCATCTCTGGCCCTATTCTAACTCCTCTATCCATTCAGTCGGCTGTGGACGCCACTGTTTGTCGCGTGGTGATTGGTCGATCAACCCGGTCTAAAGCCTTCTTGAAAGTATGGAGGCAATCATATCCCTCACAAGAAGTCAAAGATAAAGAAAAATTGTCTTCGAAAGAATTATGAGCTATACAAGTTGGAGGAAGCTTTACCATCAGCAGGCAGGACTGGCATACTACTGGTGTAGTGGTAGCAAAGTTGACTTCAGATTCCATGGAAGCCATTCCACGAGAAAGAAAAGGCTAACAGATACTCTCCATGTGAGGAATTTGTGCTGGAGGGATGAACACGCCTCAATGAACCATGAATGGAAGGAAACACCAGCTTCAATTTTCGCAGTCACCGCTTTGCAACTAAAATAGGTTCCATCCACATCCGCTGATTGCTTTGAGTTGTTGGTTACATTAACTACCGATATTTTGATTCTTAAGTCATGGAAGTACTGGACAGAGACTTTCTACAAGGAAAACCATCTTCAGTATCCCATTGATAGGGACGACATAATTTTGAGTTTTCGTCGGCTTCTGCGATAAAATGCATCATCCAGATGTGACTCGAAGGCCTCATCAGTTTCTAATCGACAGGCGTGAGTTTACTTACTGAAGGTTCCACCACTTCGACTGGAAGCTTGAGGATAAATTAAGCAATCGCTAAAGAGTTGTGGAATGCATGCAAGCGCCTTTAAACACGAGTCGTTCCATCTCAGAATGATCCCTTCAGGAGGATCCTGGAGATGACTTTCACAACTTCACCTCGACATTAAAAACATCCTTTCCAGTCCGTTGAATGTGCTAGACGGCTTTTAACCATCGATCATGGAGTGGATCCAACAGCTTCTCCCCCGGGTGAAAGAAGACCATTTTTAAAAGCTCTTAGAAGTATTGGAATAAATTCAAGGATTTCGCATCAAAGTTCGGGCAAAACATTGAATTGTGTAAACTCAGATAGCATTTTAATTCCTAGAAAGTCCAACACAAGCCCAGATGCCTTAAGCATACATCTATATACATCAGTGAGCTCCAATTCAAGAGAGGACACTGGAGACCAAACGAAAAAGGTCATGAAAATAAGCTGGGCGGAGAAAGAGGGGGGAAAGATATGTACATGGTGTGGAAGATCATACTTTTGATTTACAGAGCCGGAAAGTGCAAACACAGGGCGCGATCCCCTCCCAACCCGTGTCGAGGTCAGGTCAGACCGAGGAGACTAGCTACGGTGGTGATCAGAATGAGAATGAGGACACCGAGGATGATGTAGCAGATTATTTTTTTCTAAGAAAATAGAGAAAAAGGAATTATCAGTAAGTGATTGTGCAAAAAAAAGTTAAAAAGTTGAGAATCTGAGATACCACGAGGATTACAAGAGACGATATAAATTCTCCTGAATAGCATCTTATTCTAATTAGTCCGGACATCCCCTTTCACCTTTTTTCCAAAAGTAGGACAGGTTGCACGCATTAAGGTAGTGTAAATGGCATCAAAATATGATGGATTAGACAAGGTACTTAAATCTTAGCTGTATTCGGCGTTTTAAATAAAACAGAATCAACACAAATCGCCAATGGCCAAACGCAACGCAAAAGGCACTTCAATTCCGAAAACAGCCTGGAACCTATCCAGTCAAAGTATCCCCAAGAAACGGCCACCCTCGCAACTGTTCACCGTCCCAGCTACAGCTGTTGTTTAGCCTTCAGTAGGTGAATAATTTCATCTGTGTCCATCGCCCTAAAGCCAAGCATAACCCTGCGGGAGCGAAGTTGTGGGTGGAATGAGTACACCCCAAAGCCATTTTGCATCGTGCGTGAAGGAAGTGGAGGGGCCATTGACAACCCCCGGGGCTTATTGTCATCTGTTAATTCATGACAAGTAAGACCACTTGCCTAGCTTCTACCACAACCCCCAGTTACTGCAGATCTTAATGTATCTTTGTATCCCTCTCATTAAGGAGATTTGCAAATGGGTTTTCGAAGGTTTACTACAACCTGACAAAGGAGTGGCTTGAGTGTGATCCATCACCATTTGGTGGTTCATTACCAGAATCGCATTATTTTAACAGTACTTGGGCGATGCATCCTCCTACCGCAAGAAGGTACACACACACACACACACACACATTTGACGGAAAGCTTCTGCTTCCTTGTTGAAATCGAGCTCAACTCCGGCTGCAAGGCCGACAAGGTGGAAGCCCACTCATCAAGTTTCAAATTAGAGGAAAATAATGAAAGAAATATTGTTCTCTTTTATGGATGCACACATAAGCAATGACATTTTAGACAATTTCTACAAGTTAGACAATCAATCACAGCAGGTCTTACTGCAAATTGCACGAACCTCTCGGGTCATGTGATACAGCAATAAAATGCCCTGTCACCAAGACAACAATGCAGAAAAATAAACAAATAAAACACAACCTTTGGAATACACAGAGAGGTTCTGTTTGGAATTAGTTCATGGAAGTAATAGTTCAAAAGGAACTGATTTTAAACCATGCAATGAGCATGATGGAACAGGTGTTTGGAGAAGACCCTAATCCACGTCCTGTGGTCGGTCCCTTCGGGACGGACTAACCGCGCGTACAAACTGGCTCACACTTGACCTACTTCATGAGTGAGGGGTTTTGTTGGGGCCTCTTAGTTGCCGTTTCGGTGGATGGAGCGCCAAAAATACAAGCGCAATCTGTGCCAAAGTAAATACACTGTCAAGTGGGGATGACACAATCCGTGTGATGTGACTAGCACGAGCACCCACGAACAACCGGATTTGAAAATTCCAAACACAAAATGAAACATGAACAAATAGGCATGGGAAAGGGTAAATCTCCTACAAAAAAACGTCCGCCTTCAAAACTGCCATGTTAGATGGAGAGACAACTTAAATACCCGAAATGGACGAAATCAATCAAGTGAATGTTAAGCTGGACGCAAGAGTCCACGGCTTTGTTTACACACTAGAGTTGCGAGAACAAAATCTCACAAAAGATCGGTAGTTACAGCAAATAATAGACTTGTGCCTTCTACTGCAGCAGAGCACAGATAAAACAGAAGCGATATCGAATCCAGAAACAGTATCAGATTCACAAAGATCACAAACAGTTTTTGCCAATATGAGAAGATATCACTGCATTCCCAGCGAAATTACAGCTACGAGACTAAAGATGCATCAAATTTGCTAAAATCGAGGAAATTAAAACCCAAAAGATGGGACCGAGCAACCACTGAGGATGTAACGATTGACGGGGATAGCGAGCTCCAGCAGGAAGCTGCATGGCACAGTGAAGCAGCGCCTTCTAGTGCTGGTGTTAATGTAAATACACTGGAACAGCGAGATTTTCACCGCCAAAAGGCAAACTGAATGGACCAACCCTCGGGCACGCACGCGAACAATGAACTTTATGGACTTTTGACAAATGACATTATGCACAGACGAGTGAGAGGGAGTGTGGCTTTCTCACGGTCGATTGCTACAGTTAGAGAAGAATGGGTTTTTTCCCATTTAAAAATATGATTCTCTTCAAAGCTCCCTTGTCACCGAATGAATCTTTGAGAAGTGACTGGGGGGACCGAGTGAAATCGACTCAGGGTCTTGAGGAGTAACACGACTGTGCATAAAGGTACGTATCACCAAATAAGTTGGTCCATCAAACATAATAGGAGCAGTTGTATTTGACCAACGATGAAAAAAAAAACAAATGTGCGACAAGAATGAGGTTACAACAAAAAAAATGTGGACCGAAGTCCACATCACAGTTGAGTGAATTTGAAAAGATATGAAAAATAACAGAGAAGAGCAGAACTTATTAAAATGTGCATAATTTGACCCAAAATGAACGTAAAAATCCATTCCATTCTTTCTTCGTTAGTGTTCCTTAATAAACGTGCCGGTAGACACTGAAGTGGCGACAATTGCACATCCAAAGGCCTGATGGATGGCGCAAAAGTGCAGGCATGCATGTGTACGAAGTTTAGAGACCGTGGGCCAACCACAAACGGATGTGACTCTCCTCACCACGTGACTACAATGAAGTATTACTGTTTTACTGATACACAAAAGCGCAAATCTCAACAATTTCCGCATCACAAAATAGAACCACAACAAGTGACAGAAAAGTAGTCAGATCGTAGTGAACTGAACTGAATGGGATCGACTCGTGGACGTAAACCACAATTCTTCAGGAGAGAGAATCGACGAATAACCTTCCGGGATTGAAAGCAGACTGGTACACTACAGATATGAAAATTATGAAAGGATAATACTAACCGAGCCAAGTTCAATTCGTCAACTGGACAAAGAAGTTGATCAATGAGTAAAGTAATGAATCGGTTTTGATAGACATGCGCAAGGCACCACCCACAAGCCAGCAACGACCAGATAAATGAGGAGGCTGGAGTGCCGAGATTTGCCCAAGTCAAAGTCAAACAAGCGGTACGAATATATAGAAAACGAAATTGGAGAATTCCCGATTGTAGAAAACAAAATCAGGCACAAACAGATGGGAAAGAGTATGACTTTTCCATATTAGATGGTATTTTGTACAGATTTCCAAAACGTCCAATTATTAAGGCCTTGCCGAGGGAAACTGCAGGGAACACGACTGCTTGAACTAAGTGCAGTTGATATAAGGAATCATAATTGTATTCTTTTGATAAAAAGGACATTTATTACAAAATTACAGGCGACAAAATTGAGCTTTCCGTAAGAAACGAGGATTAAATCACTGCTCATGATGAAAAGGAAGGAACCAGGGACGAAATCACATTTACAAAACACGGATCAGACTAAAAGCTACCCAGGGAGAAAGATGATGCCACCCATTATAAGTAAAAACGAAGGCGGTATAAAGCAACATTGATTAGAGGGCGGATGCAAAAAAGCAGTCTTGGCAGCAGGGGGGAGGACGCACGAGATCAAGAGGGCACAAATGGGGCAAAAAACACACATAAGACCAAGTGCTGCCTGAAAGTCATGTCACATTTACAAGGGCTAGAAGTAGCATGATACGGAAAAAGTTAACAAGGGTGAGCTGTGCAGAGCTAAATAGACTTGAAATGGATTCACCGACCCAGCAACTAACTTACTCGAGTAACATAGTGAATCATTTGTAATGATAGCATAGCAGACCGGATCCGTAACCCCGTGGGAACTGTTGACTTCCTAAAACGTCGGCATTGCTTGAATGATTTTCCACCAAACAGGAAGTAAGTTGAAAATAATAAAAAGGAGAATGCGACATTCTCATTTCGAAGGAATACAAAAGAGAAGGGACATTCAAGACCTTGCTGCGCAAAGAAACCACGAAGGATGACAAAAATAAGAATTTTAACGCTAACCATCACTTTACAGCACGGAGAAGGAAGGCTGAAGAAAAATCGACAAGTTGACCTAGGTAAGTGGACGAAATCAACCGAATGCATTGCAAAATGGACCAATGACACTAACTATTGGCTCGACTAAGAAATAAACTTCTCAGTCCATTCAGTGAAATAAAGTCTGCAGCAAAACATCGCCCACAGCAACCATTATAACGATGCACAGACCCGCAAAGACCGATATACTTAAACAATTGCTAGAAGACTTGTAAAAATGACGGAGTCATACCTGCAAGACTAGGCTTTGGCTAAAAGTCACGCCACACGCCTAAACATGCACGAATATTAGAAGGCAAATATGGAAGTGTCGCAAGTCGCTCAAGAATGTTGCCTTTTGGGGAATTAAATTAAATGCCCGAACGCGCAGGCCATTTTTTCAGTCGGAAGTAAAAAAAGTAAGTAACCAGATTTACACTGGCAGGATATTAACCAACTGCGGTCTTACAAGCTCAACTGGCCAAGGCGGATATAAGTCACCAGCGCCAAATGCAAACACAATAAAGTGGATGGTAAAGGTGATGGATGCGTACCTTATAGACAAAAAAATACCACACATGAAGAATAAGACTACCCTCACCTTTCTCGCACTTTTCTGCGTCTTCACAGCCTTTTCAACAGAAGCCTTAGCAGCCTCCACTCTATCAACCGCCATGCCAACATTGTGCTCGATGTTATCAATCAAGTCACCCTAGGAATGTCAAAAATGTAGAGGGCATCATCAAAGGCCTACCTGTTGGTCGACGAGTAGAGCAATCTGTGCAAACATTTCCCTCATCTCCTCAATACTTTTTTCCAACTTGATGATATCCGCGTGACGGGCCTCTATTTCAATAAGAGATTTCTTCGCCGCAGTGGTTTGTTCCAGCACCTAGCCGCAGTAGCACTATCAAAAATTTAGCAAAAAATCCCTACAGCATCGGTAAAAACACAGGGATTGGTGGATTCAAGCATGTCTTCAACCTTTTCATCATTAACGTCCGCACCGGCTACTTGAAGCTGCAGTTTTATCCGCGATTTGCACTTGTCGCGGTACTCCAGTTGACTGCGATTATAATCCTTCATGACAGTTTGGAATTTCTTTAGAAGGGCGGAATGTTGATAGGCCTTTATGCGGTCGATGCCGGTTGAGGGCAGAAGATGGTCGGTCTTGGCGCTTTCCTCCAAAGCTGATGGTATAAATGAAGACATTAGGGAAAAACCCACCTTTCAACTCTTTGCCAACACGGAGAGAGAGATTTTTAACATTTCGCATATATTCATCCAGGCGAGATGAGGTCACTAAAAATGAGAGAATCAAAAAGATAACTTGCCAGGATCTGTAGTGGGATTGGATAAGATGTGAAGCTGGCAGGCTTTTATTCGCTCAACATTACTCGAAATTTCATCAACCAGCTTGGCGGTGCTGTTGACTTTATCTAGAAATGAATCCAATATTTCGACATTTTCTGCTGGCTCGCCCTTGCTCGCGACACCATTCGCCACTTGATACCGCTATTCAACATATCGGAAAAAATAAAATAAAACATACAACTCTGAGCTCGGCCAACCGATCTCGAGTCATAGTATGACGAAAAAGATAACCTCAAAGCCGCAACCCCGGGAAGAACACCAGCCAGTAAGTGGAATAGCTTTTCAAAGGGTTAGGTGTTGTAAAATTTACTTTTTTAGTTAGTTAGAACAACCGATTAATTTGCAGAATGACAACGAGTCACTTTGGGATTATAATATATATACGTATTTTCTGAAAGCTTCATAGTGTTTAAAAAGGCCATCAGTTTGCACTAAAGCGATGAAACATCTGTACAACTTTTTCACAAACTCAGCAAATACTATAATTTGACCATAAAATTGAGCCAAATTTAAGAATGTTCTAATGTAGAAATGTTTTAAAAAATTTTTAGCATATTTAGCAAATTTTGATTAGCCGCTCTTATGTTATGATGAAATGCTTTAATTTGTTTAGTTTGTGCTATCGTGGCCTACGTTTATTTGCATGGTCCTGAGTACATGACGCTAATTGGAAGTACAAACTGCGGAGAAATGTGTTTGTTTGATCAAACGCGGTGTTAATAAAGTAGTAAGTGACCATATAATTTAGCAAGATACCGATTGAAGAAAAATGTTCACATAAGTTTTACATCTGTACTACACTGCTCCCTATAGAAATTCTGATCTTTTGGAATAGGTATGTAATTTTAGCAATTTTTATGCATATATGCTGTACCATGAATTAACCTTACCTTAAGTTTTCCATAGAACGAAATCATAAGCTGCTTTTATCGCTTCTGCGATTCCACTCTTTCCGAAATTCCCTGCAGATTATTTAACAACTAGTAAGTTACTGGGTTAAAGTAAATTACTATTATTACTGAACCACTGTAGAGCCTTCGAGTCTTTCCTGAGGTCGTGACAAGCCAAAGTACTGTGAAATACATGGATTGTTTGGTGCACTAAAGGATGTGGAGGCGACTAGCATGGCCCGAATTCCCCGCTGGTGGTCGGACGTGCAGTATGCACAGATCCGAGGACCCGCGTGGTTTGAAAATAGCAAAGCACCCCATTAGATGCATTCTGGTGTTATCGCAAACCATTACACCAAGCTTTTGAATAAATTTGTAGAAGCACACTCATCCCATCTGCATAACAACACTAACATGAACTCTTCTTCGCAGGTGTAATCTTAGCCTCCTGCGTCTTCCTTAAAGACGAATGGAGACGTAATACTGGGACAGAGTGTGGGCTGCGGGGCCCAGTGGAAGTACACTGACCAAGCCTTTAGTACCCGCGTAATTAAAACGAAGGGATAAACAAACGAAGGCTTTACAAAATTTTAATTCATCTTAATTAAATGACACATTTCTGCAAGAGGATGAGTGTATTCTGCTTCAAATTGCCATTTTTAGATGGGAACTACATTTACTCTAGGTTAGTTTTCAACAGCGTTTTAATCTAAAAAACCATCTCAAACCAAAAGCACTTGAATCCATCGCTCTACAAATCACATCCATCTTTAATAATCTAACCATGAAAACTAGGTTATAAGGCTTTAAGTCACGCCTGCGTTTTGACTTCCATCCCAAACGAAAATCGCTTGCAACTCCCCTTCGGCAAGTGCCAACTGACAAAATTAGTTAAAAATTTAATGAAGCGATTTAGTTAATGAGTAAATGAAAGCCACAAAGTGACCTCTGAGTGGAGGTGGGCGATTTGCGAACTCAAACCGGTAGACAGCCAGCTTCTTGTCACTTCTAAGATAAATAAGAGCATCCAAATAAAATTGTGCGGGTCTTTTAATAACGAATTAACAACTATGAGGGGATTTTTACCCATTTACCTCGGTAAAATTTTACACAAGTACCTTTTATGGCCTACATTTAAGGGATTGCGGGCTAGAGATTTCTACTTCGGGAACACCGGTATTTCTTGATGGAAATAATCATGCCTCTCTCCAACCGTCTTCTTTCCTATCACAGCTTTACTTCACGATTGTCCATTATATTTTGCATCTGCATGTCTATTGCCTCTCTCAAAGTGAAGTGATAGACGTAACTCGGACAGTAAGAGAAGACAGTACCTGCCTTACATCCTGGCCCTATAGCCGGTATGAAGGCTCCTTCCAACTTAGCTTGCAACCTCTTATTAAAAAGGGAGAGCTTCCTCCTCACTGATTAAATTCACTAGTACAACTTGTCTTGACGGTTTCCGTAGGAGAGTTGATGGTGTGAGTATATGGCTGAGGCATAAAAGTTAAATCACAAATTCCCTTGCGACACACGAATCTCAAATCACACTAACTTGTCACCAGCATCACACAGTAGGAATGATCTCCCCAAAAGAGATGCTTCATTATACAGCGAGCTACTGGGAGGGTTGAACAGCTAACTTCACTTCTGTGTGCTGCCTTCTACTACTGACAAATAGATTTTTATCAAGTTAAATCTGTACCGCTCACTAATTCCACCAAAGTTGCCCCCTGGGTCAATTCTGAAAAAAAGATAAGTGGTTGCGATCCAGATGCCATGACAACCAGGCATCAAAATCTTAGTGTTTTATTGTCAGCATCAAGAAATAGAGAAAATTCTGACATTTAAGACTATTAAGGAAGAATTTTCTGCATATTTAATAAATCACCTAGAGTACTTTTGACAAAGTGCCTAGCAACAACAACATCTTTTGGTATAGAACGATTGAAGACACTGAAAAGTACCTTTGGCATCATTGCCAGACGTTTCTTTTTCATATCTCATAAAAATTGCAAAAATATTCCATTTTTCTCTGTAGTTGAAACGTGGGAATAATTAATACCATAGAGGTAACGAAAAGTAACACAATAAAACAAGTGCGAGAAGTAGAAAAAAGACAAAATTTGACAAGTTATTTTGAACTGAAGATTACTAACTTTGATGAGTAGTAAAAGGCGCACAATTTAAATTGTTCTACCAGAGTTGTTTTGCAAAGTTCGAACAAGTACCTTATGATTGATGTCCCTGTGGTTTAAGCGGAATTAGTTAGAAATTAAAAAAACAAGATTTTAAGCAATGACTGCATTGCTTCATTCCATAAATTAATCGCTCAAATTAAAAGCAATTAAAAAATGATTAGACGACCATTACAACTAGACCAATCATAGTGGCTTGAAAAAAATTTGCATTGAAAAAAAAGATCTTTTCACACGACACTCTGGTAGAAAACCTTTCATTTTTTGGTAAACAAGTAAAAAGTGTCCTAAGCTTTAACTTGTTTTACTTCTAACTTTCTACAAAAAGCAATTGAACGAAAGGCATTAAAATTTCACCAGCAGTGTGCCCCAACGTTTCCTCCTTCCTCACTGATTCGCATTGGCATTTGATGGGAAATTCAACTTCGGCGTATTTCCAGTAAAGCTCTTTCTGCATTTGGGTGTTAGTAACAGAAAAGACCACTACCTTACATAGGGCTGCCTCCTTTGCAAACCACTGGGCAAATTGGTCACTTGAGTTATCATAGCAGTAGAAAATAATGCTATAAAATGTTTGTCGCGTTTCTCACATAACACGATTCCAATCACAATTTCCACTTTTGTACTCACGTTCTACTCTACCTTGCGTCAACTTGTCATTTTAAAATTTTGCCTTGAAATTCTACTTACCTTCACAGCAATTTCCATCCGCTCCTCCCCGACTGGTTGCCAAAGGCTCCTCGTGATGCAAATATGCATATTTTAGAGGCAACACATTTCCCATTTGAAAGGATATTCAGTTTAGTACACAATGAATGGGCTTTTTATTGCTGTATAACCATAAAAGTTGGGTTAAAAGATAACTGACCTCCACTCATCTGGCGGAAGGGAGACTGGCACATTCATGAGTGGGTGGGAGTTACTTAACCAACCATGCGTGGAATGCAGTCACTTTCAAGGCAACCTTTCTCCTAATAGCACACCACTATTCTTTATCTTACGTTTCCACATTCTTCCCTCCATTGGTTTTGCAGGGCTTGGGTTCTCCCCGGAGGCCTTGTAATGTGAGCCTGTGTCGACTTTCAGAAGAACTGACGCAGCTAGAGCTAGAGGTGGCTGCACATGCTGAGAAAATACCCCTTCATTAGGTAGCATACTGGCTTTTAGAGCGTCTCCTATGGTCTCTCTTCTGCATCGACATTCACAAAGTAGGCAATGCTTCAAAACCCATTTTGCGAGTCAGAAGTGAAGGTCATTTCTTGACATTACATGGAGGCCAAATTTAATCATTCTTTCTAACTTCTGTAAACACGAACGGGGGTCTTTTGGGCGTTGCTACTCTTCGACTCAGGTCGTGCAAGTCTATTTTGTTGGTAACAAAATAAATTGCGTGTCAGCTGCGATTCCGTTTTGCCGCTGCAACGATAAAGGGTCGGAATAGAGAATGGTGCTTAATAATGAGTGTGTAACTGTGCAGAAAAAGCTCTTCTTCGTAGGACCGTCCACCTGAAGACAAATGGGAAATGGCAGCATTATTCCTCTCGACCAGGATATTAATCGCTTGGTTCATAGACCAAGAGGAAGTGGTTATTTTGGGTGTCGATTACCATTTGATTAAAAGTATGTTTCACTCCCTTACACAGAGCCCCAAATTTGAGGTGCTTGCTCATCCAATAACCCTCCTCCAGTGATCCATTTCAGATCCACCCATCCAGCATCGAGACTCTTGTACATTTTGACCGGGCTAGTCTAACACCGCCACCAAGGCGTCTCCCCAGGTCATTTATAATAAGGTTGTGGGCATGGCCAGATTCAAAATCCGGGGTGGTTGAACTCTTCACTCGAACAAACCTCACTGAATTGCACTTTTCTTCTAAAGGAATGTTTAAATGTAACTTATTTCTAATAAAGAAACATTAGAAGACGTGGAATTTCCAGAGGAGCGATTTGCATACGACCGGAAGCAGAGCATTTCGCATACCCTAATTGCAAATGTCCTTCACTGCCATCAGGCGCTTAACTCTTTTCGCATTTGCTAGGATTCCGGGAAGTCGAAATAAGAAACCACCAAAAAATGGGCGTTTCTACATGAAAAGAGGGAATGGTAAACAGTGTAACCGCCTCAACTTAGGCATGAAGATTTCTAGCTGCCTGCATTGCAATTCGCACTAGCCTATTCAACTTAGATTCCTCCCTTTCAAAACACCTTCTAGGCAGCTTTTTTTTGCCTTTTTCACCAAATGAAGATTAAGAGTGTTGTTCCTTACAAAGTCTTTTCTCCTTTTATGAGGGAAATAAAGCCTTTTGTCTGCAAAGTCGTAAGGCTCAGTCAAAGGAATGGCATGTTCGCCCTCCGTCTCTCTCTCTCTCTCTCCTCTCTAATTATTTGTAGCATATTTGCGCTAGCAACACTAGATTGAGCTTAATGCAAAATTTAAAAAATAATGGAAAAGAAATTCTGCCCGGGCTGATTATGACTCTCCTACTGCTGGCTCTGCTCCAAAAAAAATCTACATTTTTCGGTGAAAGTTTCAATGGGCTGGGTTTAAAATGAAAGATCCTTAATTGTTTTTTGTGATGCCTAATGATTAATAAAATGAGGTTAGGAAGTTGTGTGACTAAAAAGGGTGATTCGAAGGACTTCTTAAAGGGGAGTGGGATTTGTTGTGGGTAGGTTCACCGTAGTACCTATTAAATTGTAGAAAGTTAGCATTAAAATTTAGGATTAACGAGCCATAGACGACTAGCATCAATACTTTACTAGATTGATGGAGAAGTCGCTTGTTTGCGACCACTTCTATTGGGAATGGCAAGTAGTGAAAATGAAGGAAATGCGTTTTCCCCACATGCCATGCATTGAGAGGTGGTGATCAACTTTCAAGGTCACTGGTCAATTTGCTCTCCACTTTTTCACGTTCGCTGTCCATCAGCTTCTGCCACATTTCTTGCTAGTCAACTTATGGTGGGAAGGAACTAGAGATACTGTTCTACGTAATTATCCGAGTTATGATTGCCACCTCGCTTTGAGATTGTCAGTGGACAGCTAGGTGTGAAAAAGAATGGCGAGTTGCGAAATCCCACTGTTATGCAAGAGGTGGCAGCTATGGTTAGGCTTAATTAACCCCATCTATGGGCAAAGTATTGCATAGAACCTGCACTTTAATGCGTTGGTTGTTTATCTAACACTCGGCTTTGGGAAAGAGGCAACTTAGAAACCCCCTCATTATATCTCCATGGAGAGCGGCCTAACCTACGGTCTATCCCAATGGTCTTTTTTTTCATCTGCATGTCGACAGTACCTATTCCACCTGAGTATTGTGTCTTAATTTACCCTTAAAGAATTCTGGATGCGCTTCATTCCCGGCAGCGGTATCCTAAGCGCCTGCCCAGTGCCAAACCCCAGTATAGTGAAAGAAGAGCGCAAGCTGGGGATGGGATAGTCTATAACGAGCTTTAACAGAAGAGCTGAAAATGACGTCTACCTTCGACAACTGCCCTAGTCTCCTGTTCTGCAGGAGAGCTATTAACAACTAAAGTGCCAATAGACATGCGCCACCTGGAAGAGATCTCTACGGAGCTATCTATGGTACCTGTACGAAGATGCCAATGAAGTGAATGGGTGAAAATAACTTGATGGAACCCGGGCAGTCAAATATATCTGGGCAGCCCCGAAGTGAGAATAAGGCGGCGAGGAGAAATATTTGTGAAACCCTACCCCACCTTAATATGTTTAATTCAAGTCCCTTGCTACAAGACTCTGCTTTTGAGCCAGTATTCCTACGACTAGCTATAAGCACATTTTTCTGCCTCTAAACCCAGTTTCCACACAGGATTAAGCTCCAGATCCAGTGTAATGGGCAAAAGGGGTCAGTGATGTTGCTGTTAAGCATCTCCTTAGTCGCATAGAAATCCGATGACTGGAACGATTGGTTCGTAGCACCGACTACGTTGTGATGGCTGATGCAGAAGACTGACCAAATGAAACGCCGGGGATAACGCTGAAAAGGGGAGAGAGGCCATATAGTACGTTAACGTTTGTTTAACTATCGGTTTCAGTAAAGGGGCCACTTTGAGTCTTCGTCGTTGTCCCTTCGCTAAGTGGGCTAGTCTCCGGGCCGTGCCATCAGCCTGAGTCCTGCTGCACGTCGACCAATTATATATTCTATCCAGAGAGACGTCTCAGATCGCCAAACTACAACATCGTGTTGGGAGTATCTAAATATGGCACAAATGGGTGAGTTAAAGTGGGGGAAATATTTAAAACGTGGTAGTTTTTAAAGAATATAACATGGAGATTGTCTGCCTCCAGAGACAATTAATGGTATAAAATTAAAACCTCGTTAAACGTGGCAAATATTTGAAGATATTATGATTTAAAACAACCTTCTTTTGGCATACAAATGTCAATCTGAACAGTAAAATTTTGCAAGACACTAAATTTTTTAAATCAGTGAAGTCAGAACAAAGTTTTAGTGGAACGGCGGGCACAAGTTGACTTGTTTTATCTGATCACATGAAAATAATTGTTGTTGACATTTAAGTTTAGTTTATGACCTCAGCAGCTCTCCATAAAGACGTGTTGAAATGTACAGCGTCTGGATAAACGCTTTTTTATGACGTACTGCTTAGCTATTAATAGAAGTTAAATCAACCGAGCCGGAGAGTCAGTAAGGCTAAGCGTGGGACCTAATTGGCCATCATTTTGGTTCACATCCCGGAATACACAGCTCTCCATTGCTAAAATCCATCTAATGCACCTGACAGACATGGGTGGATTCATTTTTACGACGGAACAGTGAACAGTAATTTTGGAAATTTGCTGCCTCTGCATCACTTATAGCTTGTCGGTGCTCTACGGCTGGCCACTAAAGGGGGTATTGCGCCTTAAAGCAAAGGCATTTAGAGGGACGTGTAAACTTGGTTTATAGAACTACTATTCATTATCCATTATTCATTTTGATCCATCTATTCGTATAACTGGATTCCAGTCAGCACCTGGAAATGCGAGGAGGTAATCACAAATCAGTTGTACCTACTTAGTCAGACAGCTCAATAATGTGTACTTGTTAATCGGTCCTCTCTGATTGCCGTGCCGTATCAAACAAACATACTTCAAATTATGAAACTGTGCCGAAATCCCTGATTTGACCTAATCCTGATAACCCTTCCATTCTGTTGCTGCAGCTTCAATCACCTACACCATTCACCCTTCATTCCTTGACGGTCAAGTAGGGTATTCAGTCAGCGCGATCGTGATCGTTGTTTTAGCAGAACAAGCTACTAGCCAGTTCCACAAATGCAGCCTTTGATTATAATATGAAATCGGGCCAAACTTTACCGGGAATAAAAAGGTCTGATACGACTCATCATGATACCAAGAGCGAACTATGAAAAGACTAAGACGTACAGGACTATAGACATAAATCTTGAGAAGGTATCTTTATTTATTGTTAAAAGCACATTTGAGTTTGCATAATCAATAGGATTTCACGAAGAAAATAGGGAAGCTGACTTATCCCATAGGCAAACGAATTAAAAGCTCAGTGGGATTATTTTTGCATAACGAGCGCTTTAGCATGACATAGTACAGATTTTTTTCGCCATTCTCTAGCTTGACGACTTTGTTCTTGGTCTCATCTCTCAAATAATTGGCTTTTTGTAAACTTTTGGTTACCTTGAAGAAGCTCCCACAATACAGTGGAATACCGAATTGGCTAAAGTATCACTGACTTATATTTCCCACCTAAGGTAAAGGGACAAGGTAATGCTGAGAAAATAAGACCCTTACAGAACTGCGAATCTTTTACAATACTGTAAAAAGCCTCGAATACGATTTATTTTAATGGATTTGTTTTCAAACTAAACTATTTTGACAAGCAAAAGCGTTGTTTTTGTTTAACGGTGTTCGCTGGAGTTGATAAGAGGCAAAAAGTTGACAGAATAAATAACTTTGTGGTGGGTAATTTTTCCTGTATCAAAAGTTCCACATTTATCCTGTTATTTGACAAGATCAATGAAAACCTTCGTGAAACTACACCGATAGCCAACGGATGAAGGAGTGTAGTGCAGTGCTACATTTTCCAATTGACAAAAGACGGAGAAATCTGTCACAGACATTCGTTTCTTTTATAGAAACACCTAATAAGCCATTGAAATACAGCTCAGTTCAAGTCAAATAGGGACTTCTGAGATTGCTTACTTAAAAAGGACCCGATGCAATGGCAATAGTATATACAGTATCAGATGGCGCGTGAGTTCCGCTGCTAGCGGCCAGAACGGAGTCCTGAGGCAGGCAGAACTAGACTTCGTCAAGCAAGATGATGGACAGTGGAAAAGTGTATACGCAAGGTGCATACATGAAGTAATCAGCCTTCTCAAAGTGCATGAATGGTGTATACTCCTCAAAGACAGGAAAATACTTGTAAGCGGTGATCCCGGCCATGAACTTCCCAAGCTTTCGGTCTCGGTAGTCATTCAGGACTTCAGACATTCACCCAGAGAGTGAGGAGATCTATTTTGGACTTCAAAAACCTAGGACACGCCAGGCGTTAAAATGGCTTTCTGCTTTCTAACCTTACCAATGTTTGAGAAATACCGATCGGAAGTGAAAATCCTCTTTGACACAAGTGGTCAGAGTACCAAGGTCAGGAATGTCATGGTATTGTGTTCAAAAAAATCCATGCGGTAGTATCCAAAGGTTGTTCGTTCTCCTTATAACCGTAAAAGTTGCGGTATAATTCGAAAGCCCTCGTACTTATTACCATATAAAAACATGGAAAATTTCCAAACACCTGTGATAATTTTCTTGTTAAAAGCAGAAATAATGCTTGGATTGTGTTATAAAATGCCAAAAGTGGTGGACATAATAGATTTTCATGTCGTAACTTATCGAAAGACTAGTACGTCGTATTATTTTTGGTAATCTCGCCATTCTGAAAGATAATTTCTCTCTACTTTTTCTCAGATTTCATCAGATTCCTGAAATGTACATAGACGACTAGGCGGTCTTCAACTAATGAGTGACTACACACATTTTACAGTGTGTAAATTCGGAGACTATGGGGATTTGTTCAACTCAACAATTATTTATTGCTCAATAAATGTTCAGGAGGCTTCCTAGTATCACTTTGATACTAACCATTTGTTGACACAGACAATTGTGTATAAATAGTCAAGAAATGCACAAACGAAGAGAAGTTGACGGTAGATAGAATTTAGGCATTCTCGATGGGATCAGAAAACGAAAATCCGAAATCGTGAATAGCTGAATAAACTACGGTATTGAAGGTCACTTGAAAAACTCCGCTGACTGCAGGTCACCCGCTTGGGCGACCTCGTTGGGATTGTTTAAAACATCGAATCAGATTGACAATAGCTACTGAAAATTAAGGATGCATAACAAATGTGCTAGTACGATTAATTACATAAACGAATTTTTAAATGAGCTAAATTTGTAAGAAAATAACCTACAAAACACTTTAAATCAATTTTTTCCCTGTTAATAAGTAGTTTACATTTTCTTCAATGACTAGTAATATACGACATAATCATTACGATAAGCTAAAAGCGACTTTCTAAGCAAACAAATGCGGATTTGCCATCTGCAATAAATGATGACTTAAGAACACTGCTACTGCGTACGTATTTGAATTAGTGGATAAAATTCTCACGGATTTGAAACATTTGCGGGAAAGCCTTTCATTTGAGCAAGTATGAATTTTTTTCTTTTTGAGGGGGGAGGGAGAAAGTGCTTTTGTTTCAGACATAAAACTCCAAAGGCGCCAATAAATGAAATCCTGGGAAATGGCCCCTCCTTCACAGCGAATGCCGGTCAAATAGGGGCTAAGGCGGTTTTTAGAAAAAATCAACGTTTCTTTTAGGTAGAGTTGCTTGATATATTTATTTATTGACGACACATTATAACTGGGCCTTGGAAAGCAACTACAGCCAGTAAAGTTTTTCCACTCTCCCTAAACCTTATAGGGATATACTCTTAGATATCAACATTGGACCGATTCTACTACTTAAAATACGTATTTTGATGTGTCCATACTTCACTACCAGTGTGGAGCGAGACTCATCGGTCTCCGCTTCCCTATTCCTAGCGTTCTTAGACAAGCCCGGTTGATTTGCTTTAAACATATTTATTAAAGGTGACAAGATGGAGAGGGAAAATGCAATGTTCAAGAAGGAGGGGAGCTGTAGTCACTAGGTACGGGAGAGGATGATCCAATCACGAGATTCGGATTTTTGCGCTTCCCTTCTCCCTGAAAGGTCCGTTAAAACAACGTAAGTATTACAGCGTGTAGTTGATTCAGACTTAATAGTTCTTTACCCCTTTCGCGCACATCGTCAAGGGATTATCTTACATATTGCCATAATGCAAACTTATTAATAAAAAGTGACTTTTAAATTGCATATTTGTAGGGAAGAAGACAATATTAGTTATTATTAAATTGTCGACTCACTTCCCACTTAGCATTTCCTAAGGCAAAACACTTTGCCTCCTGGAGACTGTTTTCTCTATGCTTGTGCGTGCTTGGACAGCAAAAGCAATCTTCTCGTGGGAGTTAATCCCTTTCCGGAGGCCAAACAATAATTATGGCTGGGAGTTTTTTCGACATAAAAGCGGAAAAAGACCTCTCCTAAGGGAAGAGACTGATTGATGGTTGAGTTAATGGTAGAAAAAAGCCCATTCTCACAAGCAACACAACAACTGATAAAGTTGTTATCCATGCTAACCTACTTATCCTCCTAAGGGTATTCCTTTAATTGAAGTGGTCTTAGGTAAAGTTACTTAAATTTCGAGGAATTAGATGAACAAATTCTGATTCTGGTAGATGACTTATACTTGCTTAATGTTATCAAATCACAGAAATCCCATTTATAATAAAGAAATCATGCCATAATTACTCCAATGACTACAACTTCTTCAGTGAATAGTTTTGGTAGCTGACAAATGCGAATGCTAACAAATCAATCTAAGTAGGCAAAATAAAAAATGCTTGTTTCTTAAAAATAAATTTCCAGCCCCTAACCCCTAGTTTATGGAATCGAGCAAACGGCGGTAACTTTAAACGGCCTAACCTTGAGGGTTTGGCAAAAATTGTGATTTTGTCCATCTTCTCTGTTAGCAAAAAAATAGGAAAATACGTTATTTATGCGTTTCATTTTCTTCAAGAAAATTCCAACCGACGCGCAAATGACGTAGTTAGTTGACATTCGGGTGATAAAGAATGATTGAGATCGAGGCATGGCGATAAAATCTGCCACTGGATACAATTAGGTTGCGTCGGGGATGATCTATGCCTCGCAATAAAACGGAACTACAGCAGAACTAAATGGGGTTTAGAGATTGCCTTAAGATTTATGTTTTAAAAGGTTAAATGCCGACATCAGATAGAACACGCCGCGAGATTTGTGGCCCAAAATCCACTAAAAAACTGTCCTCAGAAGGCGAAGGGGTAGTCAAGGGCGGTGAAACAACGAATCATCATTAATATGGATCACTGTGAGGATGAATGAAGTGGCTACTTTCCCTTAAGGCAAGACTAGCAGGTTAAACGACAGTAGGTCATGACGCAGCGTGTCGAGACTTCTCGAAAGTTGAAAGAAGACGTAATACTCGGGTAGAATATGCATTTCCAATGGATAGGAGGGTTTCGAGCTGATGGAAAGTCCCAAATGCCAGGCTGACCGACGGAGTACCAGTGGCGGAGGCGTTAAGCGGCCCGTTAGGAAATCCGTGAGTTGCGCAAATAAATGAAGTATCATTTGCCCTCCGCTCCTTTTGAGCGTCGTCTGCAGCACTCGCCTTCGTCAAACTCCCACGTCAGTCATCACAACGTATTTATTACTGTAGGAAAAACACTCGGCAAACAACGATGTCAGCCACCGAATTGAGTGCATCTGAGAAGATTATGGAACGTAGCATCACTAGTCCCTCATGGCAGTTCTACTACATGTGGAGTCCTGACATGTTTTGAAAATATTTTAGGGAACACTGACCTAAAAGCAGGATCATTTAATAAAGGACAGGGATTGAAATAGTCTTGTGTAGGTAAGGTTACCCCTCTATTCCTCCTTGTCGCCTTGTTCTCACTTCAATACCGCTCAGCCATACCTATCTCCTTGGCTTCTATCCAGAGGGTTGAGAGATGGTGAAGGTGTCGCTTATTTACCGAATTGACATCTTCATTTAGATACAGTAGACGGCTCTGTAACGAAATCCTCCAGGTGGTTCACGGCTGGTGATGCTTCAGTTGTTAATGGCGTGAGCTCTTCTTCGGCCCCTCCAAGGCACATCATCTGGCAGCAGAAGAAATTAAGGCATTTGTACTTTAGGATGAGGCTGCCCTTTGGCTGCTCATAATGCAGCTCTCCGAGAATTCCCTGAAGAAGAGAGAAGATAAAATTCTCGTGTAGCGCATGTGTTGACGACGCATAGAGGGTTGAAGGCGATTACCGACATGGCTCGGCGACCAGGCAGCTTAAAGGCGGTATCGTGGCGGGACGCCCAAGCTGCCCATTACCAAAACCGAGATTTAAACAATTTATTAAAGCATTACAGAGGGCAAAAAATTGGTGCATTTTAAAGCGTTGTTTTTATATATGCTTCTTTCTTAGAGAAGAATTAAATTGGTCGATTAGCTTTAGAAAGTTTCGAATTACGTATAAATTGGAGACAAATGATACTTTGATATTTATTTTCATTTCTAATGAGAGAAGGTGGCAGTTTGGCTCGCACCGTTTTGAGTCGCCTTCAAAGCCCTGACAAGCTAAACCACTATGGAAGAAGAATCGTTGCTAGCCTACAGTTAAGTTGAAACAGAATTGTTCTGAGAGCAGTATCCTAAAGTGAACCACCAAGCCATCTTTCAGTAAATTCTGGCACAAATTGCTATCGTTAATTTTATATTTACATGTTTTTAGAGACGATTTGGCTGTCAAAACTCCAACTTGTCACCCAACTCGAGTCCTGCTACACACTGATTGCTACACGAGCTACGCGAAACAGCTAACGCAGCAAATCAGGCGACTTCGCTCTTTTTTTCAAGGAACTTCATCTCCTTTATGTCATTTGCCGTTAGTGACATATGGAAGCATCAAGTGGATGTCATCTGTACACATAAGGGTCCGCTTTCTGTCTTCATTCGGTGCCTTGCCGCCTAGGAAACGAGTAAATCCACTTGTAACTAAGTAATAGAATTATTGTTAAAACATCATATTTACTGCCTACAAATGGCAAGGACTTAACTTTTAAAGCATTTTGACCTGAAAAGTCAACCCTGAAGATAGTTAAGTGGGTATACGACCGGTGACGAGCCCTGGATTCACGTCAAACCGGGACTGTCTGTTTCCTGTAACACTTTACAGAGAGCACTAAATGACAAGCCTTTCATTGGCCAGGCACTGCTGATCAAGATAGCGTCAAACAAGGGGTAGCAAACAGGCGCCCAGATAATCGCGGCGGTGATTAAAGCAATGCCTCTTGACAGACTGCGTAAAAAGAATCCCTGCGAACAGCCGCCATTTATGTGGGAAAATTCTAACATGATGTTGGGCACGGCTACTTTGATGTCTGTATTATGCGCCTATCTTCGGGCGTTCCCAGAAGCGGTGGCATTGTCCAGTCACCTCTGGGAGCATTCCTTCAGCGAATGGAACATTTGCCCTATTTCGAGGGCTTAATGCATATCCTACCGTAAAATCTTACTAGAGACAATCTTGCCTTGGCTACGATGAACACAAGGCTTCATGAATATGGCATCCTCCAAGAGTTTGGGCCTGTAAGGTACCAAGACACCCAGGGGTGTACTGAAGATGTCTGTTCCAGATTCTTTCAATCTGTTTCGTATTTGACTGTCTACCGCCAATTCCATGAAGAGGTGGGAGAATTACACCAGAAAATCAAGTAGGGATGAAAATGTGCTAGGGCAACATCTCTCTCTATCCCCCTCTCAAATGGGAGGAAAGGGAGTGAGGTCTTCTTAAGAGTCACTGTTGTGGGTGTACAGGGTCGTGGATTGCCTTGTCATCGGGGGACTTTCTTCCCATTGGCTGGACTAACAGAATCGGGAAGAAAGACTTTTCTTCTACACCTTTGACTTGCACTGCATTTTAGTGAGTAGTTTCTGGCCTCATTTGTTGAATGACCCTCATCAGGCGGACAATTCCTCTTAAAAAAGGAATTTACAACCTACGATAAACACACACGGGTCACAGTCAAGGAGGGATGAAACACGAGATGTCTTCATGGAGCAAGCAGTGAGTGGATCACCTGGGACTGACAAATGATAGTAATAGTTAAAGAAAAGTAAAGAACACGTTGATAGTCTTTAAAGCTCATCGTCACTCATAAATGGATGACATGTAGGCAGCACACAGTGTCTCAACCGCCACCATGACCCACATTTTCCACTTTGTGTAAGTTTATACCAACTACTTCAGCGCCACTCCCGTTCTGCAGTACTGAAAGTTGTTCTCCTTATTTCATTCCCAACGTATTCTATCCCGTGAATGGCAAGACGCCATTTTTCATTGTTTTCAAAAATCGACGACCTATTCTGAGCATGACGCATCGTTCCATATTCCGCTATCGCACCTTCTCCGAATGTTCTGCGGCAGACATTGTAAAGAATTTCTGAACCTTTGGAATTGAGTTTAAGCTCCATGGGCAGACAACCTCAAACCACATGTGCCGAGTGCCTTCAACACGCTCCGATCCGGGGAATCTATGTACCGGTTCCAGGAAAACTGGTGTAAGTTCCTGCTCTACGATGTCGACACCGATACAGTGGCGTGCATTTGACAAGCCCCTTCAGACTGCAACCAGTCGCTAAGGTAAACGAGACCATGATGTGAAAGACTTTTGGAAGAAATAATCTTTCCTCAAGTTTCCAACTTCCACCTTGCATTTTTACAGGCGAAAGGAATTCATATGTACCGGTCATTTTGGCGGTTGCCATATCGCTACGTCCAATTGGCAAATCAGATTGCCTTATACTTTGCTCCAGGGTTTGCAGCCTCAAGACGCGGGTCAAGGAAGGAGACCTGCACACCTACTTACTTTCTCGTGCTGAGGAGTGGATTCGGTGTAATAATGAGTTATCACTTATTTGATCATCTTTCAGTGGATTTTAAGCTTCCTGTTCCGCTGTGCCAGTAAAACAGATGTGGACTGATTCTAGTGGCAAGTTATGCACAAACAACAAAAATCCATTCCGCTTGCATTGTTGTTACCTGATCTACTTGGACGAGAAATTCAAATGATCGACTTGGATGATTTTACGAATTCGAACAGGAATGAAATGGAGGTTAAAAATTAGCCGGACTGTTGCAACGGATGGGCTGCGTCGCAGACGATTTAGTCACAACCGCGGGTAATTGATAACAGACCCTTAAGTCGGATCGCCAAAACAGACGAGGAAGTTCAAGGCCTGACCTTTGAATCATGTCTGTGAGTGCATGGGGAATATTTAACCTGACGTCTGTTTGGCAGCTCCTTTTTCATGACACTTGGCACGTCACCCCGAAGTGGGTGACAACTTTTGCCACAAAAGGGTGACGGTGACACGCACAGTTTAGAAAATAAAGATGTTTTTTAACCGTCTCAAATATAACTCGCCGTCACCAAAGGGAGATTTGGAAATAGGTTAAGAATGTCTTTTCTGTGAATATGACTATTTGAATAAATGAATAGCTAATTTGCATCGAGTTTTTAGGAAGTCTTGAAAGTTCCAAAAGTGTTGAAGCGCTGAGGACTAATTTCCGATTTTCCACTATAAGTATCTCATTTTCTCTGCCTTTCCCTTCTTCACCCAGCTTCAGACGTCTGGGTCGAGAAGGGTGGTTAAAATAGGACATCTTCTTTGTGTGGACTGAAAACCTTAAACATCGTCGAAATTTCGTGAAAGATTAGCGGTTGTCACCGTATTGAGAAATCCATGAAGTCGACAAGACCAGGACGTTGGTGCATTCTCTCTACTTGCCCTCAAAAAGGCAACTTTAAACAAACAGGAATTACGAAGACTTCTATTTTAAATATGAAATCCCAAACCTACTTTGACAGCCAAATTCGGTAATTAAAAAATCTTTTTAAAAGACCAACAAGTAAGAAGATACGTGAGGCAACAAAAATTAATAGTTATTTTTTAAAATCGAAGTAAACAAAATACCGTTATTCTTTAATTATAAGAAAGTTTTGAAAAACCAATTAAGCAATCTCAAACAAAGGGCGAACAAAAGGAGGGACTTCGGCTTATTCTGGCAAATTAATTGCTTTTTTTACCACTACTGAAAGCATTAATATATTTTTTGCATATTTTATTGAGCATGTTTTAATTCCTAACCTTAAGCTACTTATGCATATTTTCTACATAGTCCTCAGGGTTTATGTTTGCAACTTTACTTAACTAAAATAATCTACAAAAGCTTCTAGTCCAAAATTTGCATATTTTTCCCCTAAAAAATGATTTTGCACTTAAAAACCGGTATAGATCCCCGGAAATGTTATAAACAATCGTTACATTATTTACTCACGAAATCACGTCGCTCCTTACAACAGCAAATGTAACCACAATTGAGGCAATTAAAGCGCTGCTTTGTGGAAAAAAGAAACGCATTTTCCAACATTTCACCGATTTTAAGAAGCCTTTGGCATGTTTACAACATGAGTTTGCGAGGTTGATTTGGGGCAGGGGAGAGAGGCAAATGCCAGTGAGCTGAGCCGGACGGCAGTGATTTGTAGCCGCCCCGCGTTCCGCTGACTGCATCCTGCCTTTGCGTCAAGCTCCATCCACCAGAAGGCATGCATACCCAACTTTTTAAATTTGCCTCTGCATTTATTATGCAGAAAGATGAGGGATGGGTGTTTTGGAATGGGAGATTTATTTGATTTGCTGGAAGCTGAAAGTACATATGTTTGTGTGCAGGTTAATGGTATCCGAGGCAGCGAAATGACGCAAAGTAGAGCCAGAATGCCCAAGAATCGAGTGTAAAAGTGTGATTAAAATTATAAGTTGATTGTGACTAGGTTTTCCCACAAAATAAATGCGAGCACCAATCACATTTCTAGGACATTTTTAGTTATTTTTGGATGGAGAAATGCAAAGACTTCTTTTTCACTCAGAAGGCGTCTCTTCCAATGCTTAATTGGAGGCTTATTTCTTTGGGAACACCCAAACACTTTGTTTTCACACTTACGCTAATTCAAGCTACCCGAAACAATTCAGGAAACATAAACAAATAAACCTGGTATTTTTTTTAGACCACGAATTGTACCCTCGCAAACATACCTTCAAATAATTAAAGGGAGCACTTTTAATCACCTCTGCTTGTCAACAAATCTGTAAAATTTTTGTGAACTTGTTTGTTAAAAATTTGAAAAATACTTATTTCCAGGATTTTGAAAGCCTATTTTGATAATTTTTGAAGCCTACTGCTCAGCCAAATTCTAACGTCTGTACAATAAATTTACAAAATATAAAACTCTCGAATCGTGCCACGTTACTATACTATTACCATTAAATACTTACGAAGCTACGGCCTTACAAACTTTCACGTGACAACTGAAATTTTATCTCACAAAAGACCATTCTGCTTATTCATTTAACGATTTTGAGTTGGTGAACTGATATTATCTAATGGGGTAGGGTATTTTGGAAATAATTATCTACAACACTGACGGTGAAAGTCCGGGGCAAAAAATACTCGAATGCTTTTAGACACAGCCTGCTGCGGCTACACACGAAAAAAGTTACAAGGACTTGGAGGAGGAAGGCGAGTGGTTTTGTGCACGCACCACAAACCTTAGATTTGTACCACTTTGTAGGCACGTTACCTTGTACACTTTTCTCCTCCTTTTAAGCCTCGTGGCCCTAAAATGTCTCTTGAGCATGATAGATATGCTTCAAGACCGTCTCCTTTTTTTAAAGTGAAAAGCTTTTCCTACAAGTGGTTTGAGCAAGGTGTTTGCAGTGATGATACACTGCATTTTGGTCCATCATGCTCGGAGGGACCGTCGAAATATGATATCATCCATAAACATTTTTCAGAAATACTTAGCGTTAATGAAGATGAGGCAGTTCGATTACTTCTGATTGAAGTTAGAAGGGAGCCGAGTGGCCTTAGACAGGTAAACACATTTTACCACTAGCCCGAGTACTAGTAGATGATCATTAGCTTTAAGGACTGTAATAGCACCACATACTTTGATTTCTACCCACCCATCTTTGCTACTTGCTATGTCGCATCTTATCCGCTGTTTGACAACGCCAAACAGTGGATTGACATCCCGCAACCTTAGAATTTATTAAAGACATAAAAGTCGTAGATTATAACCCTTCCTTCCTACCTCCAGTGAAATCATCAAGAGTCTGTCTATATACATAACGTCCTCTTTAGCAGTACAACCTTTGTTGCTCATCTCCCACATCAGGAGCAATAGAGATAATGCATAACCTCGTGGTTTCAAGGAGGGGAGAAGGACTACAGATACACATCCACCACACACCGAGAAATGACGCGAAGATTGCAGAGAGTCAGGTGAAATTGATGGCGGTTGAATGAGAATGGCGAAAATGAGGGCTGGAAAGGTGGTCGTTCTAGCATCTACCTACAAAACAGAGGAGGGTAAAGCTTAAGCCAACTTTCTCCAATATTTAGTAGGAAGAAAAATAATGTCAATCATTCCTTTATCAAGCCATATGAATTCATTTTTTAATGCTTCTTTTTAATGTTTACGCCGCCATTAGCAGCATATGCATGTGAGATACCAATTTTACCCTCTTAGTTTGGCGTCACATATATGTGACGCGAACTACTTATCCAATTGCCGGAACTGTTATTCCATCCAATCATAGTACAAGTAAATTTAATAAAATTCCAAACAGTATTATATAGATCAAATGCCTTTTTTGGCCTATAAGCCGCTGCTGAAGCAACTAAGTGACTGGAAACAACAGACACACTGGTATCTTCGGCGGAAGGGTCTACGTGCTCCGAGAAAGTATTTTTAATTCCCCTTAATATTTGGCGGTTCATTTGATGCTAGTTATAAATCATATTTTACAATAGTTTGGACGCTGAGTCTGAGGTCGTGTTCCATAAAGCAAAACCTAATTAAAGTCACATAAGCCACGAATTCAGGGAACTCCGTCGAAGTGTCGAACGTGATTGAAATGTCTCCGTCTATTTTAGGCTAAAAAAAGTGTATTCCATGACCGTCAAAGTTGAAAGAGTGAGTCTTAGAAAGAGCTGGCTATGATAAAAGGGGGAACGCATTGTAATACTTTAATTGCTTGCTTAATTCCCTGTTTTGGTAGTGAACTACTTAGCGGCTCCACCTGGCGGCCTTGGCCTCCAAGGCATGCGAGTAGCTCCAAAACCCCTCTCCTCGTAGGCACTATATATTCTGCCCGAGTTTAAAGCCTTCTCCCGTCTTTCAGAAAGCCTCGAGACACTACAATGATTTTCAATTAATCGTGAAACCAGGGAGAAATTAGAGTCATTTAGATGGTGAACTCCACACTTAGCAGGTAAACGCTTCCTCCTCGTTTGAAATTGAAACCACTTTTCGAAAATTAACATACCGTGGACAGGGCTGGCTTACTTTTGCTAAAAAAGATTACTATGCATATTTTGGGCAATCGTTGGCCGAGTGAAGACATTGGCGAAGCAGCGACTGCAGCAGCAGTGGGAGAGGAGAAGTAATCGGTGCAGGAGCAGTGAGGACACATCTTTCCCTCCCTCCTTCTCTCTTAGTGGACTGTCTTGGCGAGGACTCCTACCATTTACGAAAGGGTAGTTTTGTTATCCTTCTCCATCTCTTCATCATCATCTCCATTTGTTGCCTTGGTTGCGTTCTCGTAGCTCTGAGAACTCGCCGTTTCATCCTATAATAAAAGGGCATTTCAGCAGGCATTCAGCTTTCGCTCAGATGCTACCCTCGTGATATCATCAGGACTAACTATTGCCTAAAAATCGTTTTTCTAGCATTATATGTGGAGAAAAAGGATTTCTAATAGCAATGGCGCCAAATTAGTCCCAACTGGTTACGTCCATCAGTAGGTAGTATCGCCAAACGGAACATCCACAGTTGGAATATTACCTAGCATGAATTTTTGTATGTTTTCTGTTTTCCAGTTTTGAATTTTGCACATTTAATGATCACTATTCATTTAAACAAAAAGACACTGGAGAATACCTTTTTTGGTGATCTGGAGTGAATAGCCTGAAATTCACTTAAGTAGTATCTCCTTCCCAATCCTAGATTAAAAACGTCAAATTTTAGCACAAGGGACGAAAAAGGCAGTCCTTTTCGAGCATTCTAGCTGCTGACTTATAAACACATCCTCCTCAGGAGTGGTGAAGCACTTCCTTTTTAAATAGTTGAGAAACGGCTCCCAAACACCTCCAATCGTTTCCTCTCCGTGGCCATAAACAATTTATGGCAGTCAAAAGAATTGATTCTGCTTGGAAAACCATTGTGACTTTTTACCATGAGGCGTTGAGAAGAGTGTCACATATTGAAAGATGCAGCGAGGAGGAGTCAAGCGTCTTTCACTTTTAAATGCGTTCGTTTGCAGGGAAATCTACTGCTATTAGGATCCAGATAAGACTTATTAATTTTTTTCAGCGATTTACACCACTGTCAGGATAAAATAAAATTAATGTTTAAAGAAAGATGATATTTTTGCGTCTATTACAACCTTCATTTTTGTAAATTAAAGCAAAAAATAACCAAAAAACTGGCAAAGATGCGCGTCACATATAAGTGACGCCAAACTAAAGTAGGGAAATAGGTAAGCCAAGTATATGTGGCACTAGCAGCAAACGCGGAAAATTGCAGTGTTGTTATTCCACAGTTTGTTTGGGAGTTGATTTATCAATTTAGCCCTATTGATGGTGGCCAGTGGGCAAATCCACACATCTAAGTACATGACGACTAAAAGACATATGAACAGCCTTAAAAGCCCTCATTTTTCGTTTTTGAGGTAGTAACAAGATCAATGACTGACATTTTTTTCTTAGCAAGACAACCGTGTCGAAGACTAAGCACAATACTTGAATCCTTATTATAGCTAACTACTCAACGTAATAGCACCTCAAATTCAAACATGACCTCATGACCTCCGGTGGAAAATCCCCTAGCCTAAAATGCTCACCGAGGGAGAAGAAGAAAATTCCTTAAATGCGTGTTTTCGCACTTGTGACAAACGTCAACGACAACCGCTGGCACCCCCAATTTTCCTTCTCTTGGCAAACCCTCTTTCAATAAGGCACTTTAGTAGGTGATTTATCATCAACTCGAGAAGGCAGTACTTTTCCCTGGAGAGAGATCCACCAAATTTCGAGGAAAAACTACCTTAATCTGTGCAAAAAGCCTCATGGAACTATCACTTCTCATCACACGTCAATCAGCAACCTATCGAGGATGCAACCTTCATATTTATTTGTGTACTCGAAGATGAGGAACGAAAGGAAAGCTGCCTAACATCCCCTGAAGCTTATTGTCATCTATAAAAGGGATGGCACAAGGCCCCCATTTGCCCATAAAAAGTCGGTCAATCAGCTAGCAGACAGTTGCAAGCGCGCAATGCATCTGCATAACCTACGGAAAAAAGGAAAAGGATGAATTTACAATTTCTGAAGCCCATTTTTATCAGTTCTTGCATGGCATGAGAAGTTCACTTATCCCCTGACCACAAAAGTGGAATGGTGTCCTAGACGTGATTCATTCCAGTCACCAGCATCATCATCGTCGTCTTCATATTCCTGGACGTTACCTTCTGCCATCGCACACAGCAACTTTAACAAATACTATTAATAAAATTTGTCCGCGGGTTCGGAATGGCGTCAGTAGGATTTTTAAGCTTAAATCACAACCATCCTGTTAAGAGAAAATTTCACAATACTCTACTCTAATTGGGGGGAATTAGTGCTGTAGAAAGTAGTAGACTGACGCAAATTACTCCCTTATAATGCACGCATATATTTAGTCGACTGGACTAATTACAGATCTCACCTCTATTAGCAATTGGAGTTTAGCAAGTGAGCTCGGGTCCTCCGGGGCCCCCAATCAGACATCGGCACAGACGTCTTGATTATCGACGCTAGCGATTAGGCAAGGAGTACGACAAGGGCTTACAGAATGGCTAGGCAGCTTGAGAAGACTACTCGAGTCACTTGGTGATTTCAGCCTCGCCTAATTGTAAGTCCTAATTGACCTTGACCTTATGGCGAGTATTGATACAATTAAAGGACATCTGTACGCTGTATCAGCCGATTAAGAGGGAGGCAGTGAGAACGCGACGTCTTAGAATGTACGACACCTTGCAGTTAATCCACCCTTAAATAGTGTACCTTGTTAGGCCTCCGTTTAGCTTCATCCAATGATGCATGGGGACTTTCTATGTACTGCGACCTCAGGGGACAGCAAAAACAGAGCCTTTTCCTCCTCCTTCGCCTCCGGTCTCCACGACTCGAGGTTTCACCACCGTCGGAGAGGCTACTGGAGCAGTGTTTACGATTCGGCAACACTGACTTGCGATATCGGTGGAGGGTGTCGTTGGTGAAGACGGGGTGAATTTTGTGGAATACTTCCTTCACGTCGTGAGTTCGTGGAACGGTTCTCTCTATGCAGGGCGTGTAGGTGTGGTTCTGTAGCGAAGAAAGTTATTCAATTTTGCAGATTGAAGGCTAGGAGATGTAGCTATCTTTAATTCAAAAAAAAACAGAGTTAATTATTTGAAAATACTTAATATAGCCCGAGGATGATCTGGCTGAAGAACCAAAAAAACAACTTTATTACAATTAAGTAAATGGGCAAATCGCGAAGCTGCTGATTCAGAGGAGAATTTAATGTAAAATTTCGCCTTTTTCAACAAGGAAACGAACAGCTATTTATCGCTACACTACTTGGCCGTTCATGTTGATGTCAGGATGCTCACTTAAGTTATCCAAAAGTTCTTTATTAGTAAATCATTCATCAAATTTTAGTCCTAATTTTCCCAGTTCTTACAACAGCATTTTTGAAAGCTGCTACCAAGAATGCATAATTAAAATGTTTGTTCAAATGGTCAATTCGATGAGCGAAGAGGATCATTGGTGGTGTGGTAGGAAAAGCTATTCCCCTCTAGTCATTTTTAAAGATTAAGTAGAGCAATCCGCCAGCAAATGCAATTTATCGAAAATTCGCATTAAAAATTTGTATTAAAACCGGCATGCTTTCAATTACATGATGACTTGGAATCGAAGCAGTCTTTCTTAGAGGACAAATTGTTGTGATTTTGAGAAACAAAACACAGAAACTGACTTTCAATTGAATTTGGGCATTAAATGATGTTGGTTGTAGTGCCATTTCTCACTTAATCATAACCTTGATGCGAAATCTATAAAACTGTGCGTACTAAAGAATTTCCACAAATATTGCCTAAACTGCCCCATTTACCAAAATTGAGGATGCGGTATGCTTATTTTTCGGTGCAAGTAATGCCCCCAATTACCTATTTTTTGCCTTTTATAATTAAAACTACTTGGAAGCACATAACAGCCTCACATGATCCAAGTGGAAGCTCACTTTCTACGTCACCACTGCCCGAGATTTAAGAGAGTTCTTTTCAAAAATCCACCTACATTGACAAGTGGCCTATCAATAATGAGTCTGTTAATTTAAACAAAATATCTGCTATCCTTACCCGGTTGCTTTTGCCTTTACTTTTGAGGCGACTCTCGCCATTTAAAAGTTGTGCTTTTTTGCCTCACCTGTTTGTTGTTGTCAAACCTCTGGCCGTTGTGCAAGCTTATACTTTATTCGGAATTCTGTCATCATGGAAGAGAAAAATGGATATAAATAAGACTTGATTTTATTTCAGGTGAGTTCATGGATTTTGCTAGACTTTGAAAGCTCCACTGTCTACTTGCGGTAAATACACATTTTGCTGTGTCTCAACTGCCTCAATAGAGACAGGGGATTGAGCTTCCATTGAGAAAAAATCACCTCCTTTGTATTACTTAATCACTAAGTCGCTTAAACAAAGGATTAATCCTTCCCAAATGCTAAACGCAAAGTGAGCTTATGCGCAGGGTAATCACAAAGCTGCTACAGCTCTTTGTTTTGATAAAAATAAAATAGTAGCAAAAATCTTCTCAAAATATGCAATGAATTGTACTTCACAATTTTTCCAAACAAGACATAAGCTTGCAATTGCTACTCTCATAGCAGAAAAAAACGTGGCTCCCATCTTAACTACCAACTATTTCTATCCCACTCACATTCCTTACCTGTCTATTCTATATAGTATGTGATTGTCGGCGCTGAGGGTGGCTAAAACGCTAGAAAAAGCACTCCTGAATAAAAATTTTGTAGAGTTTCAAGAGCTTCCTTTTCTTCGTACCCTTTAAAACATTTTGCTGTTACTGCCTCGTTGGGTTTTACCTGACTAGTCGACAATAACGCAAAGACACTAAAGATTGCCAATCTCCACAATAATGTCAAGAGCAATCAAAATGTTCCACGTGAGACTAAAACCATCCTCATGGCTCGGCACTTCAGCCAGCAAGGCTGCGCAAGTACAGTACTTCGATTCCAAGTCATCATGTTTATGAATGTACGCCAGTAGTAATACGAATTTTTGATGCAAAATCTCTACAAACTGCATTCGCTGGCGGATTGCTCTACTTAATCTTAAAAAATGACTAGAGCGGGAATAGCTTTTCCTACCACACCACCAATTGTCCTCTTTGCTCATCGAAATAATCATTTGGGCAAACATTTTAATTATATATTCTCGGTAGCAGCTTTTAAAAACGCTGTTGTAAGAACTAGGAAAATCAGGAGTAAAATTAGATGAATGACTTACTAATAAATAACTTTTGCCGGCCCATTTGGATAACTTAAGTGAGCATCCTAACATCAACAAGAACGGTCAAGTAGAGTGTAGAGATAAATCGCTGCTCAGAACCTCGATAGAAGCTGTTCATGCACATACAAATAGCAGTTTGTAACGGTCAGGTGTCAAGAAAAACTGACACTAATTGCCCGAAGAAGTGGTATCGAGGGCGTACTGAAGATGTGAGACATTATCTCCCTCAAATCCGTCCCTATGTTATCCCGTGAGAGTGGAGCCTTAGATCAACTGTATGACTAGACTTTGGTGTTTCAAAACTATTTCAAGTTCGAGCAAGTTGATAAGTCTCAATCGTATTGGCTGCTTGGCTTTCAGTAAATGAACAACTCCATCTGCAGAGCACCCTACACAACAATCGTTAGACATTTAGAAGTGCAGTTGTGCTCACCCTAGAAATGTGGAATAAACGTTGATCTAATCGCTGGAAAATAAAGGTTTGTTTGCTTAATTTTTAGTCAAAAAAAAAGCAATGAACAGGTATACGTGCCATAGAGCGCTCGTTTGCTTAGCTTTTATGACTTGTCATCGCCATTGCCGAATGTGGTTCGTGACACACCATTCTCAGATGTAATTTTGACATGGTTGAGAATGGATGATCCTCCCGAACAGACTGCATCACCAGTCAGTGATTCATCGCCAGAGTGAAACCATTTGGAGCATTTCTGCGTTGTCCGATGTGCCACAGCATGTCCAGGCTATTCACTCTTCACAGGTTATGCTTCCGTTTTACAACATAGCCCTCAGATGGTGGCAGTAGCCGCCTGATTTTTCTGTACCTTGGTGATAAGCATTTTCCCATTACCGCTTTGGATTGTGAAGACCTCGTGGAAGACTGCAAGCGCCAAAAATATACACACTTTAACTTATGAATTTTTCCCAATTAACAGAAGGCTTTTTACTAGATAATAAGTGTATCCCATAATTCGCCTCCACACGGTGTGTAAACTCGAATTTTTAAAAGATGGTCACTCTAAAGTTCAGCATTATGTGAGCATCCCCCGGCTTAGTCTACCTTAGAATGTACAATATATTTGTAAAATGTGATGCTTCTGAAATTTCTTTGAGAAATTCACATTTAGGAAGCAAGTGAGGAAAGCCAACCAAGCTAGCTCATAGAAAATCTGCTTAATCATGGCCTATTAAGCGCCAACTTTATTTAGGACTCAACTACTTACTTGACTACTTAAGTAGTATATGATGTTATTTTTAGGATTAGTCGCACTGAATATTTAAGCAAAAAACGTGTAAATCTTGTAAAAAAAGGCAAAAGCAGCAAATTCTTGGGAAGACAAATACTTGAATTTCCCATTCCCTCTGATGACTCCAAATAAATAAAGAAAATTTTTTCTTATGACTAGCCTAAGGTAAACCCCATCAGTAGCAAGCTGTTTTCATTTTAAAATATTCATTCTATCAATGAGTAATTTTTAAGTGTCTATTTTTCCCGGATTTCCGCTTTGAAACTGGGAAGTTAAATGCAAAAGAGGACGAACATATCAAACGCTAACGTAGAAAGGAGGAGGAACTCAGTTAGATGGTAAAATTCCAAATTATTAAGCTTCTAGTCTTTAATTAAGCAAAAATTCCTCCGGGTGATAACGAAGATTATAATAAAGCGAATTGATGGTCAATCGAAATGCACGAGTTGAAGTCGCCTTCGCTGCAACAGAATGGCCACTTGAAATGGCTAAAAATCATAGAATAATTTCCATTTTCGTGCCAGTTGGACATGTTTAAGGTCCTCAAAGTTGGGCTAAAGAAGTAACATCGGGGCTGAAAGAATTACCCCGAAAAGAAGAACGAAGCCTAGTAAAAAGATGGCTTCTTAAGTTTCTCCGCCTTGACAATCACCTTGGTGTCAAGGAGTTTTGCGTCTGTTACTTATTCTAATAGTCCTATAAATCCTTTGGGTAGTAGGAATAAGTCCACACCTTTTGTACCACAAAAACGCGATTTCTAGTAATTTCCTAACATTTTATACAAAATGTGCCCCAGGAATTTTAAATAAATGTTTACAAGGTTGTGCAATTTTTTAAGTGACAAGAAAATCTCCTAGAGCATGCATCAATTTAAAAGTACTGTCAAGGCTGAAGAAAAGCTAAGAATGATATCCTGCTTATAGAGTCTCTTACAACTAACAAAGAGGACAGCACAGGGCTTTGATCAAAACACTCAGAACTAATTCAACAGCTGACAGACTTACAGTTTTTCCTCACTTTTTGATAAATTCAACATTCACGGATGAGAATTTTACCACGCTTTCGCATCAACTTATGGAATATTAAAATTAGTGAGACCAAGGGAACGCAGTCACCTAAAACTTGTTTGCGCTTTTTTCCAGAAAGCAAACTTGATTCAAAATTCGTGAAATTGGTTTAACACAACTCTGAACAGGTATGTCTTTGAGGGTCCGCAAAAATTTACACTGATCGGAAGATTTTTTTTAGTAATGAGTTCTGATGTACTTCCAAGCACTTTAAGGTTGCACTTTGCTGCTCCCACTTCCTTGTATCTGAAACTACTAACCCACATTTTTATCCTTTTCCAAATAAACCATTTCTGTTTAAAAGTACCTTTTGAACTGCCTCTTTGCTCAACAAAGACTATAAAATCGAGAGATTTCTATCAGAATGTTCTTTGGAAATGGAAGTTTTTACTACTAATTGTCAATTAAAACGGCTGTCAAAAGTGGTTATTGTAAAATAAATTGATATTGCGATAAAAGTCAACAAAGAGTTAATGCAAATGGTGGGAAATGGAAAAATGTGTATCTCAACTATTCGATTTTTTAAGAGGGATATTATTTAGCCATTCAGCTCTACAGTAAAGATGGAATTTCTAGACAATGGATACAGTCACAACATGAAGCAAAATAGGCTACGCGTATGGGCTAAATGTGTCTTCTGCTCCAAGATGTCAGCCTGACTACCGATACCAGCGCATAAATCCCGAAATTCTAATCACTTTAAGGGTGGCTTTTATCATCTATTTCATTTAAAGCCATGTCGCTATGGGTTAATCATCAGTAATTATGACAATAGAGGAGCATTTTGAATCTAATGAAAGCATCAACATTGCCGCGGATCGTCGTAACTCAAAAGGCGGTGTTAAAACTTAACGTAGAAAAACAACCAGTTATGGTTAAACTCAAAGAAATAGTTGTTAATCAGGCTTGTCAATGCGTCAGATTGCCCGATAAAAGTAAAGAACCGTCATCAAGGAACGTGACCACTTTTAGGGCTGCATATCATCTATCCTTGCGAGTCGCTTTCAATCAAAGCTGCAGTAGCAAAGGTGAGAATATTTTAAGAAACTTATTTGTATTTTAAGCAGGACTGAATGTCAATTTACCTGGTGACAGTTGAAAACCATTGTTTAAGCATTTAAACAATTCCAAGGAAATATATAATTTATCAGGTCAGAGAGCCAGTAATCAAGGGCATTTAGACATTTACCATTATTGAAGCATTACAGTTATTTTCTTTACCGTAGTAGTGAATGAGCTCCCCTTTCTTGTCAGGATTCTAATCGAGTTGATAATAGGGGAGTACCTCTCGTAAAGCAGACACGTCCTCCTAAGGAATGGCCTTGTTTACTACCGTAAGCCATCAGGCGTAATGATAGAAGACGTCTATACTAAGGAATGAGCTGCATCTTTTTCAGGGATAATAAATGTCATTCTGATTGATAGCAGGATTTCAAGAAAAAGCTCTCTTGCCAATGAAAATGTTCTGCTATAGCTAACATCTCGAATACTAGCTTCGTATTTTTGCAGTATTTGTGATCCAGCGACGAAGCTTGTTACTCCTATCAGAAGTGTCAATCTGACTGATAACATAAAAAAATTCATTTCAAGGCACACTTAGACAATTCCAAAAAGATATCGACAGACGGTCGCCATGGTCACGACATTTTGGCATAGCTAGAAATAGAGCATTAAACACGGCTGTTACACATTGCTAACTGTCACTCTAGCTGATAATACTTAAGGAGAACATTCGGGCGTATTCAGATTAGGTACCATTTGTCCACTTGGAAAGGACATTGTCAGTGGCCAAAGCTCCATGCCTACTAAGAAATAAACTATTTGTCTAGAATTCGCAAGATGTCAGTAAAGGCGGTGTCTAGACAATTTTAAGATCGTGAATCATCTGTAATCGCAAAACTCCCTGACATTTGTTTTATCTGAATCTTTAGCAGCGTTTATAAATTGCCATTTTACGCACCACAGCCTGCTCGAGACAGAATAGAAGGTGTACAAGAAGCATTTGAGTCTCCTCATCAGTCGAAATGTGTCGAATATAGTTGACAGCCGCAGTGACGGCTCGGTGATAGTTGATCATCGTCGGTGGGGGCGTCGCGATTGTTGATGGCGACGTTGTCGACAACGAATCCTCCTCCAATTTCGTATGACATGGCTCCTTTTCGCTCACTTCTGTAGGTGAAGGTAGGGGCAGGCTGGCGAGGCTCTTCATAAATCGAATGACAAGAGGATTGCCAGACAGCGCTGTGACCGCGTTCACGGAATCGGTAGACTGGCATGGTGAGTGCAGGTAAGAGTGACGAGCCACCGATTTGGCCTGATTTACTCTTGCTAGGCGTGCCTTCTATAATGTAAGAAGGGACAACTCTCAGTGCGCTTAACTACTCATTTCCCTATGGTCTAGTTTAGATACTAATAAAAGTAACTGATTTTTTATATGAATGTGTTTCACGCATATATATTGTAACTGGCAATGCTTCCAAATGGGTACTTTCAGTTCTCAAGTGATTTAAACCATTGTGTATGCCGTGGAACGTGTTTCTTTAAGACTAATGCATTGCATCTACCTTGGCAATGCCAAACCTAAGACGCATTGGTCAGGTTGTAACCTGGGCAGAAGGGTATCTGCGACGACTCAGCAGCAGAAGAACCAGCTGAGCGAAAACGGTGGTCTATTTATGGTTTGAGGCGCCGTTCACCTGGCTCCCACGACTCGCCACCTCCAGTTGATAGAGATGTAAGAGTGAGGGTTGATTCCTCACTCAAATTGTAAATTGCTAATTGCGGTTCTTGACACGATAGCCTAGAGTTGTGTCTCGTGTCAAAGGATCACGTAATTTTCAAGTGGTGATTCGTCTTCAGGATAGACTCGCTAAAAGCACTTCTGGACGGCACACTCTTCCAGGTGGGTGAAAAACTGGCTTCTGCGTCCTTGAAGCCGACTTCAAAGCGGACATGCTCGAACCACACCCGATGAGTTCAACAGATCTTTGATGTGTGGAATTCAAAGGCAAGATAAAATATTAGTAAATGGGATGGAGAAAAGTCACTTTTTTGTCCACGGACAAAATTATGCCACACTTTTTTACTAAGGCGCTTGTCTGAGTCGTTCATTGTAGATGCTCTTCTTCTATTCACACAATACAAGGCATTCACATTTGAGGATGAATGCATTCCGTAAGTGCACATTTCAGGGCCTAATTGAGAGCCAAACTTTATTTTAACACAGGCAAGAAAATGAATTCTGAGGAATATATCTGTTAACCCTAATTGCATAAAAAGTATTCATTTTTCGTCGTGGGCATAAGAAAACACTCTTAGATGCCTCCTGTGATAGGACGTAATAGCTAATTGGGATTCGAGTTTCATCGGGTTCCACGCGTTTCTCCTTTAATAAAGCGCATAAAATACTGCCTTGTGGCATTACAAGAGCCGTTCAGATCGAACCCAAACTGCTCATTTAAAAGACTCCTAGTGATGGAACAGTGGTAAGTGACAAGGGTGGCAATTTACTACCTGCCGTCGTCCACTGGAGTGACAACTTCAATCATCGGTACTCAAGACAGTAAGCAAGAGTAACAGGAGAGGCATTAAACGGAGAGTGGCAATGAGTTTGCTTTTGATAGCACCGTGATAAGGGGATGAGATGCTCTGCCGATCCGGAGGAAAGTGCTTAAATGATCCAAGCACTTCAAGGCAGGCCGATGGTCCTAACCTCCATCACGGCGATCATAAAATTCAACGCACCGAGCAGGCTATACGTTCTGTTAACATAATCGCCCCTTATCAAATGTTGGTTACAACTAATGGTTTGACTCAGTCCCAAAGGTACACAGTGTCAGTGAGCATCCGACGAAGGCGAAGTAGCAGGGCACACCAACCAGGATTGGATTAAGGGGTACAATCCACCGTCTCTCAATGATGCATTAAGATCAAGGAGTTCATCCACTTTACTTGAAAATGATGATTAAGCAAACTGTTGGCGCTTACATAAAGTGAGTATTAAAAGCAGTGAAATTCAAGGAAATAAGTGCCAAACTTTAGACACTGAGAGGTGATAGGAAGCAGGCTTCAAAACCGCCGACTTGTTGTTCACTTCTGGGTTCTACATCTGGCCCGTTCCCAGATTCTCTATTCCCCAAAAAAGGCATTCATATTTGTACAACCCCCCTCAGCATCAATATTTTTTTTCTTTTAAAATTTAACTAATCTACGGAGTATTTCAGTTCCTTTAAAATATTAGTCTAGACACATTTCACGGGAGGTAGTCTGGCAATGAGGCAAGCTGGATTTTGCCTAAATGCAAACTCCACTGTCTTACAGGGCGTGTGCCACCTAATGAGTTGAGCAGCCCACCATGCTTTCGAATTCCAATTGGTGGGCTAAGTAGAGACGCGGGTAACTCCTGCAAACTTTATGATATTCTTCACCTATATATCCAGGCAGAAGTGGGGAGTCACAATGAAGAAATGGTAGGATTGGAGTTATTGGCAAGTGGGAGTGCTACTATTACCTCGGCTACAGGATGCCACGCAAGTTTTTTTTCTGTTTCCTAAGGATCGACCTCCGTTCTGGTCATTGGACCATTCAGCTGTTGGCAATGAGGCTATTGCCAGATCTCCGTGACTTATAGACGCTTGAGGATAAACTCGGTTGTCATATTTGGTGTTGAATGTGACTGTCAAATGCCAGTGTCAAGAAAAGGCGACGATCATTGCTCGAAGGCATATTATCGGGCTAATGCGGAAGACGAGGAATAAATGAGATGGCACCTTTCTCAATTCCTTTACTCAAGTGCTCCCCCATCTTCTACGTTGCTGATACGGGACTCTCCTTACGTCAACTAAGCTAGTGGTCTTCCAGCCTTTTGACACCTATGTAATGAGGCCTTTAAGATAATTCGAATTAGTGTCGTAAATCTACAAGAAAACTTCCCACTTATTTACAAAATTACGATCAAAAAATTTTCATCATTTTTGCCTAAATTAGACTCCGGGCTTCAGAATGTTCTTACATTGTTTGGCTTTATTTTATATGCTGACATAATTTACGGCTTAAATGACAAGTACAATTTGTTGTGAAACAAATTAGTGCAAAAAGCAGGATTCACGACTTACATTTTAACCAAAAGTAGGACAAATCTATGTGTTTTTTACCATAAAATGTTCAAAATTCTTCTAAATGAAACTGAATAGGTGGTTCTGATTTCGTTAGTTCAGGCTAAAAAACCGTCGGCTTAAATGACTGACCTTTTAAAGATCTTCATTTCAAATTGCCTTTCTACGTACTTCGTACGAAAAAATCAGGGAAGGTGTCGATCAGTCTGTGAGTAATCGAAATAGGCACTTAAATTTTATGCGAGGTGTTTTATTAACTTTTTTGCTTAAAATAAGTCCAAAGAAGGAGTGGTCAACTTTTGGCTTGCAGGTAAAAGTCGTCACTCAAACTGGATTTCTCTGAGCACCTAATCTGATGGAGATAACTCCCCCGAAGTGGTCACACTTTGTAGAAATCTGCACTCTCTTTTTTGCTCACATCTAATAGTAAAATGCGGTATCAATGTAAACGTCCACTCCGGTAACTTCGCTATAGGAAGTTACCGAAATAGATGAAAGGTTGGGAATTATAGCAACCGTGCAGGGGTGAGTGGAAAAGAGCATCACAGAGACTTTGTAGGAAATTTTGTAGTTGCAAAATCGGAATTAGTTATAACCCATCAGGCGTTTCCCTCCATTCATTTAATGGATGTGCCATTCACTAATTGGGGATATTAATACAAATTCATTAAACAATTTTGCCTAATTTTGTATAGTAAACTAAAACAATTGTCAAGGGCTTGTTAGATGGAGCGCTGCCTTCTGTTTCATCAATACAGTAGGATTCAAATAGGTTTGTTTAGCAGAAGATCTTCAATGCCATTCAACAGGTTCAACCGATGTTCATTAATATGAGGATTTTAAAGGAACAGGAGGATGGTAGAGGGAATAATTAATAGGAGTAGTAGACTGAGGCTTTTTGTGCTTTGCAATGGAGGCTTGTCAACAATGACATTTCACAAGTTGTTACAGCCTGTACGCCAAAAATCATGCCTACTTTCTTCAAGCGCTTGATAGTTTTGAGGGAGGAATAGATAATGCTAGGTATGTTGATAGAGGGAATACACGCCAAGTTATTTAAATGGATAAATTCTATTTTCCCCATACATAGTCATTTAATTGACTGCTTGTCACTGCTGTAAAACCTTTCCAAGGGGCTTCATTTCCAGTTGCACACTTAACTCCGCCAATGTTTACAGCTCTAGATTTTTAGACTGTTTGCGCAAAAGAAATGCGAAGGAAAAGTAAGGGTTCGTTTCCGATCAGCAGATTTGTAACGCAGCTTTTTTTGCGTTATTATACATTGTCATTGGAGGAGAACAGAGCATTTGGGAGGGGGGAAAAAGTTAGAGAAGTCCTTATTTTGTTATTTTGTACTTATAAGGTGGGGTTCACCGCTGCCACAAAACCGCATGAATTAGCCACAGAGCTTTTTACCTTTCCTGAAGAAGGAACGAATCATATAAAAATAGTGAGGTGCAGAATTTTTGCCTCTAACTGGCCTTCAACAAAAGTGTTGTCGCTTGTAAAGGTGTTGGTGCAGGAAGTTTATTGTTTGTGTGCGTTTTGAGATAGAATGAGGTTGCAGTATGGATTTATCTCAGGCAAACCTTCCTTGCAGCGACCAGTGGATCCTCGTTGGTGGAACACCACCATGCTATTACCCAACCCATCTGTTGTAGGTGGCTAAACGACCGGAGTCAAAACGTTCATCTGTTGTGATGGGTAAGTTCTTAAGGTCTACTGACGACCCATTTTTAATGTGAAATTGCCAACTTTGGAAGAAATAATGAGGTGATATCACTGGAATCAGAAGAACTGGACAATTGACAACAAATGTTGCTCATTTTGTAGGCAGAAGTCCAACTCAATTCAAAAAGAAATTCCAAGTTAACTACCTCTTTTAAATTGTCAACGATGACAACTAAGATGCGTGTTGCAAATTACGCAGTATCAGATTACCTGTCATCTGGAGGGTGAAATAGAGAGCAAAAATGGAGAGCAAGTCTGCTTATTTTTGTCTCTGTCCTATCACTGGATAAATTAACAAGAAGAATGGGGAAAAAGATAAGTAGAAACATTAGAAGGGATGAAGGGCTAAATGTCCAGTGATCCAATATAGTTTTAGAGGTGTTGCTTCTCATTTCGCTTTTATCATAGCTACTCATCACCCAAGTTACACTAAAGATGGGATTGGGACCAATTACGAAAGAATAAAGCCATCCGTTAAATAGGAGTGGCTTATTTCAAAACTTCTTACGAAAATACGGAGGATGTGAAGGCAGTGGGACACTATCTACCTCCCTCACTCCCTCCCTTCCTTCCTCCGCAAGCACGGAAGTTTCCCGCGGATAAGCTTTTAGCCGATATAAGGTCTTGTAGAATGTGTAACCACACAAACGACGGGATTCTCTTCCTACCGATTAAATCGCCATAAATTTTTCTTTCTCATACACGAGTGTATGAATATTCGCGGAAATTGCTGTTTGAACTTTCATAAGAAATTATCAGTGGACAGTTTCATTTGCAATCCATCAAGTGCACACACTCCTTACAAGCCTGGATCTCTCTGAAAGATATGATAAGGTACTTTGCGCTACCCAGCACCGCGTTTTCTCCAAATTTGTCAACAACCGCATCGAGTTCGTGCTTGAATCAGATCATCCGGAGTCAATCCACCTTTCGGCAGATACTTTAAAATGTAAGAAAACCTCTACAGCACAATAAAGAATACTGAAGAAAATTGTTGATCACGTGAAATAAATCTAGTTATTCCCATCTCCAACTCATTTTATTTCTTTCCTTTTTAAAAGGGCCTGAAAAGGACTTTGATAGCTTGTTGTCGGACCTAAACTCAGTGATTTTTCTGTTTTGGAAATATCCTCACCTTTTGAGTCTTCCTCTTATCCGAACGCTGGTTCTGCTGGTAGATACGATTAAAATTTGAGACAATGACTGGAACAGGAAGTGCAATGACGAGAACCCCCGAGAGGGAGCAGATTCCTCCCACCACCTTTCCCATTATTGTTGAGGGCACCATATCACCATATCTAAAGAAAAAAAAGGAATTTTAACTATATTTGTTGGTGATAAAGTTGGATGTTTAAGAATGCTAAGTTTATGTAAGAAATTTTTCGGTTTTTTATTAAAAAAGTGTGTGGTTTCCCTTCAAGGGTTTCTAAAGCAGCGCTATTGAAATGTACAATCTTTATTAGTTATTTCTCCCCCAAATGTCAAATTAATAATCTCGAACCATACCACTCCTATGCTACTCACTTATTAACAAGTAGGATGATGTAGCCATTGTGGTAACAAAAAAGCACTTAGTGGGAGAGTGGGTCAAGGAATTTCATCAAAAAATAAAAGGTCGGCAAACTTGTTTGGTGATTTTTGGTTTGTTTGATGAATTTTAGCTGAAGGAAGTCCGAATCACGCATATATCTTATTTTATCCTTTCCAGGAGGGGAAAAATGTCCAAACCATATTCACCTCAAGATACTAATATCAAGCACTAAAATAAATTTGTCTCCAGGTGTCACGATCACAGCTATATACTTTTAAACTAAGTGCTTCAGTCGAAAAACGTTTTTGACTAAAAATAGACAAGGATTTTTATTCGTGATCAAATCATCCACTACCTCCTAATGACCCAAATGACAACACTTATTTCTAGTGTTTATTAAAAAGAACAAAAGGGAACAAATTGTCGCGCAGTAGATGATTCTAACTAATCCAGAGAAAGTATAAAATTTCAGAATCAGAATATTTCTATATCAAAGTTGTCAATCACGAATGTTTCATCATTCTTGAGTTCTCGTTGAAATTTTACATTTGGAAAGGAATGAGAGGTTTTTAACAAATATCAATAAAAAATGAATACAGTTAAGAACAAATTCTAATGCATGAGTTTTTAATGCCTTAATATTTTAATGATTAAAGAATCTAACTGCGATCGTGCACTTCCTCAAGTGAAAAGAGTTCTGGGAGAAGTCCTTAAGTGTTTGGGGCTAAAATTCCAATTTTGACTACCTGAAATCGACACTGGTCCCATACAGTTGTTAACTTTGGACAAAATTATATGGGCCTTTTAAAAATATGGCCTTTGTTGTGCGTCTCGGCACCTTCCTCATGTTGTGGGTGTGATGCTGTTTGATAGGTTTCCCCTCTAATTCTCTAACTCCAGACAAACCCAATAGCGCTTACTTTCAGAGGAGAGAAAATGGTGCGCTTTTAGGGTAGTCATTTGCATCACGTTAATCCAGGCTCTAATTCAGTTGAAGTCCCCTCCTCCTCCACCTCCTCCCATGCAGGACAAAAATAGTCGCCCGTCAGCTCAAGGAAAGGAAAATGGCACCGTACATGTTTGAATTAAATTCCTTTTAAAAGTTAACTCACAATTTAGTGAGAGAAACAGTGGCTGAGAATTTTTTGTACCGATGCGCCGCAGTTAGTTGCCTAGTGGCACATAAACAAAGTTAGACGCCCACTAATTATTTATTAAGTAACCTTCTTGCGGTCATGACATTAGCCGCCACCTCTGCTCATCATTTTTTTGTCACCACAAATGAAGCACTCTTGGAAGGTCTGTCAGAATGGGCGACAGAAGTGTTTAAATAATGGGATTGGAAATGACCAAATTGGAGAACGTCGACTCATAGCTTTGACTTCTATAGCCATAAATCTACTTTTTGGGAAGCTAACTGAATATTTCGGTTTTTCATGGGACATTTCTTTCTTATTTCTGCCGTCAAAACGACACATCATTCCTACAGCACCAATTTAAATGCCACTACCTAGGCTACTCGGTTATACCTAAAAATAAAGGCAGAAGGTCATATTTTTCAGTGACTTTTTTCCTTCGTTACGCCTACTGGTCATCTGTCTGTGCAACCAAGCGAGAAAGGTTGAGTAGTTCTGCCTCTCGGATGGCTCAAAGTTGGAATGCAAATACGCTCAAAGGTCACCCATATTCAAAATTCTCCTTATACATCACCTTCAGATCGCCTTTCTACCACCTTTCTTCCACCCTTCACATTCTGTGCAACAAACAGTAGGAGAGCAAAAAACAGCTATGAGTAATGCACAAATTACTGCTTTTTTGTATGTCCAATCCTTGAGCTGAGTAAGGTGGCCACCTCAACTCACACGAGGCTGTCAATTATTCATCAGGACGGTTGTCATGCATGCTGATGTCTGCCTAGGCGATGTTCCTTCCTAAGTAGGGTACAAAAGAAGCCACCTTTGGCTAGGTAGTGAAGGTATTTTGGGGGATGAACAGTAGACACGATCCTCGTGACGGTTCCGACGTCGTCGACCCCTTAGTAGGAGACGTGACTCTAACACGTCTCCCCCGATCCCCATTCAGTCTTACCCAGTAAAGCATGTCCCCGTCTAACTCATCTGCTCTTTGCAAGAATAATGAAGGCGGGAGGGGAAGACTGAAGCCCACCGAGCCTACTACAACTAAATGAGTTTAAGCAGTTGCTGGGTTATTTTTCCAAAAGCTGAAAATCGTGGGTTTTGAGGTCAAACACTTAGAGTTACGAAGATGTTACAGCTTCTGCTTTTGAAAGCGGCCTCGCAGTAGAAAAATAAACTATTTTTCCGTTGTTTTAAAATGGAAATTTGTTTTTCAGGAGTCACAGATTTTGAGCATGGAAATCCGTAATTAACTTATTCAGCAAGGAGAAGTTGGCGCCAGATTGTTCAGAGAGAGAGAGAGAGAGGAAGTGGAGGGGAAGCGGGGATTAAACAAAAAGAGAGGGATAGCAAAATCACTTCTCTTCTAAGTTATAGCAAAAGAAATTAAAACGCATCCCTTTCCTGTTGTTGACGAAAGTTACCAAAGAGGCTGAATGTTAGTTTGGGGAGTGTAAAGTGGCCTAAAATTGACAAAAGATGTCCAATGTCTTCACTTACTAACCGAATTACTTTGACTCATAAAATTCAAATAGAGGTTTTCAACCTACATGTGTTGCTAGTTCAAAAATTTACTGATTAAAAGTTCTTTAAAGGCCTTCTTATTTTTCAGGAATCAAACTTTCCCTTGGAATATAACAATCTTTCGCTTTCGGGGAAGTCTGGGGACTTTACGTAGGTAGCAGGGGAAAGCCTACCCGATCCTAAAGGACAACTACCCCAATTTCCAGGAGTAAAAGTTAAACTTTAATGTGACAAGGAAGGGACACATGCTGTGGATGGGAGAATAGGCAACGAATTCCAACAGTAGGGTCAGAAATGACATCTTCCCACGGCATTTGCCCCAGTTTCGTAATCTTCGGGAATGCTGTTAACAATTAAAGCTACACTAGCCCCGAACCATCTGTAAAAGTTCGCCACAGAGCTGTCCACGGTAACTGCGTAAAGGTGTCAGTGAAGTAAATACCCGACAACTTCTTCACCCCTCTGTTAGGTGGATACAACCCAGGTAGAGAGATATGGCTGGGTAGCGCTGAAAATAGAAGAGAATGGCGAGGTGGAACAGATGCTTGATTATATTCCTACGAAACTATTTTAAAGCCCGTCACTTGCTAAGCGACTCTGCTTTTAGGCCGGTGTCCTTACGACTAGCTATGGAGATACTTGAAGGTCTGCTCATTCTCCCCATCCCCAATTAACTTCCAAACCAGGATCCAATTTCAGAACCTTTAAAATTGCCAAGTGGAGTCAATGATGATGCGGTCAGGTGTCTTCTCAACTGCACGCAAATTCAACGATTGGCGCTGTTGGTTTGCAGGTGTTTTTCCCTACAGCACCGAATGCGTTGTGGTGGCTGCCACGGGAGGTTGACCAAGGGGAGCGCAGAAGACGACGCTCAAAAGACGAGAGAAGCCTTATGCCCTACTTTGATCGCTTGTTCAGCTATTCATCTTTATGACGCGAGCACTTACTTGAGCCCCCGCCAGTGGTCCCCAGGTCTTCCACACATAGGCAGTACATATTCTGCCTCCATAGTATGTCTCCTTTCATCTATAGGGAAGTATCGAGTGCCACGACATCAACCCGCCTCTATTGGGTTTCCTGCACTGGAAATTTTAAAATCTGAGATTTTTTAGTCAGTGAGCAATTAAATTTTTGTACTAATTTATGGAGATGTTAAATTCCCACCACGTGGGCAAGTTTTCCTTTAGGCAATGCCAGACAAAAATGCTGCAAGAGCATCCACGCCTGCTTCTTGCACCAGAAGATAAAAACGCCCTGATACAATTTTAAAAAGATTATCTTATTTTAAAAATAAAAACGAACAAAGAAGTCGATACTATGAATAAACGCAATGTAAAGACCTGAATTGGAAGTGACACCTACTGATTCAGCAATCCCACTTAACCGCTAACGAATGCGTAAGGATGTCATGTTCCCATTCAAAACCCACGGTCCTCAAAAAACGTACCTATCAATGAACTGATATTTGTTTCAATACCTAATTCAACACAGTGGGCTCTTCAAACTCTGCAGTTTGCAATTCTGGCCTGCGACGTGACAGAACATGCCAATATCCTCTCCGGCCCTTCAGTGCACCAACAATGCAGCATTCTTGTAGATTTTTACGGCTTCGGGGATGGCTAGAGGCTAATTAAAATACGCTAGTCAGTTATTCTTTCTGTTTAAAAATTTGGCGAACCTTCGAAGACGGTAGGGGTTCTTGAAGTTGCTCCCAATCTACTACTAATTGTTATTTCAGTGACTCGAAGACTAGTCCTGATTCTTGACCTTTCCCCACTTAAAAAAACCTGGTAATCTACTTAAAATGAGTTTTGGGAGTCTTATGATGCCATGTGACAGGTAAAAAAACTAACTTTGTTTCCCACGTACGATTCTCTCATGATATGACAAGACTGCCTCATTTAAATTATTGTAAAACTTCCCTGCCTAATATTGCGCATTTTTTGCCTATGAAAGAAAAGTCTCGAGTTTGATGAACCGATATTTACCATTTGCTCACAAAAGCGCCTATTAGAAATTTGTAAATAATGGTTTATATAATCGGCTCCCATCTACTACTGATTTGCATTTCAGTATAGCTGCGGCTCATAAGTGATCATGCGTAATTTTCACATAAGAGTCATGAGTAACTCAGTTCGAAATTAAAATTACTAGATGAGCCCTTTTCTGTCCCTTTTTTCGTAGCAAGCATGAATAAGTGAGTAATTTTAAATTTAAAGGGGGCCATCTGTCAAATAACCAGTGACTGTGTCACACAAGTAACAAGCAATTGCTCCTCCTTTATTTAGTTCAAAAGATAATTTTTGCATGTACTTAACATTACCGTGGTTTTAAGCGCATTTGAGACATTAAGTCAAAAATAATGCCAAGTTCTACTTTTTTCTTCAAACTTCAGCATGACAGACTGCAAATAGGCAAATCCAGTCTCCCCTCGTGTTCAGCCATCGTGGACGTCACGTTTCAAAGTCCTCCTTTCCTTTCGCACTGTCTCTACACACTGAATTTGAATTCAAGATATTTTCAAACTACGCGTTATTTTGTTGGGGGGTAGTTTCTTAGGGAACAACGACCCACTCATGCGATGACAGCGGAACGACCGAACTCTGAATAGTAAAAAAGTTAAGACTTTTTGAACTCTGTAAATCAACTTCTTTTCTGGAAGTCTACAGTTGAATATTGTCTTAGAATTTATTATACACTTCCAAAATTGAATCTACGCAGGGAAGTACATTTATTCTGACGGTGTCATCAATAAGAGTTGAACTTCCCCTCAGTATGGCGAGTTCATATTGAAACAACGCTTTAAGTAGACAGCGGACACCATTAAAAGTGATCCTCACGCTTCCCGTGTTGTTTGAGAATAAATTTTAGGGTTGGCTACTTGTAGAATCTGACAAATCAAAAAGTGATTACAAAAACCGCCATAAATGTAATAAGTAGTATACGCCAAAAATGCTAAGCCTATCTCATTTCCCCTAAAATAGACATAAGGAACAGGTCATCATTTACGAGTCCAGTTAGTTGCTAAGCTCCAAAACGAAATATGCTTGAATCACCCAGTTGCCTCCACAATTAGTATTTCCCGGTGTTAGTGGCGTGGGCTCGCCTCCGTCCCTTCGGCAGTTTTTTTTGCATACCATTATGGCCTATTACCACTTCAGGCACTAAAATTATTCCCCCTGTAAGTACATTCGCGGATTCGGTTTAAGCGCCGGCACAGTTTATTTCACTTCTAAGCTGCGCCAAAATCTTATTTTTATTTAAATTGAATACCGCAACTGCCGCCGAAAAGTATTTTAACAAGGTCCCTAGAACAACCCCATTTTAAGACCTTCCAATGGTACTTTAAGACAAAATCTTTTCAAAAAAGTCTTCAAAAAAACGGCAAGGAGTACACTTTGATCAGTGTGACCAGATGTTATGTGGAATGTCCACCAAGTGGGCTTCGGGGACCTCGGATATTGCGTTGTGCAGGTGATGTCTTTATTCTCCTTTCTTTAAAAAATTAATAAATTTAGAGATAAAGCGAGCAAAAAATGCCTGAGATGGAGACTGTAATTCTTTTGCATATTCTGGGTGGCCAAAAAGAGACTGTGCTGTGTTGGCTGTCGTGGAAGGAGTGTGTGTGCGTGCAGCCTGCCGGTCAAGCAATCTTTCTCTCCATCTGCACTACTCTTTGAGGATTTCGTGCCCACCTACATTCCATTATATATCACCTGAACCTGGTGGATGTGTTTCAAGTCTCTCTGTTTTGCGAACAAACCTCGAGGAGATTCCGAAGCCACAGAATCCGATGGCCTAAACGCTTTGAGTGGTTCTGGTGGTGACGCTTCCAAACAAGGAATGAATGAATAAGACGTTCGTGGACTTCTGATGTGAATGATGATGACATTATACATTGACGCCAACAAAAAGGTGGTAATGGAATGAAATAGACTTATACCTTGCGTCAACTAATGGCAGTGAGCTTCAAGTCTACCGATTTTTTTTACTTTTTATATGTGTGATATAAATATGCTTGCTGACTCACTGACTTGTGATGGATGAGAAGTGGCTTTTGCATTGCAGCGTTGAACGAACATAAACTTAAGTGATTCACTCCCATCTCACCCCACCCGCTTTACCGCTTTACCTCCGAACGACTGTGTTTCCGTGTACGATGAACTAAAGGCAACTGCGCCTTATGAGATAATCAACCGCCGAGGACCGAAGAGGCTCCCGAACCAGTGAATCGGTAGGAAAAACGCCCTCTCAATGCATGATCTTATGGCGCAAAATTGATGCGTAGGGAGATCTGCACTTTAGTGAGAGATAAGGGGAAGATTGTGGCTCACATTATCCCCCTTGATGCTATTCCGCCAAGTGATGGTTATCACATTTGTATGGCACCAGCATTGGACGACTACATGCTCAGTAAA